ACCCTAACCCTAACCCTAACCCTAACCCTAACCCTAACCCTAACCCTAACCCTAACCCTAACCCTAACCCTAACCCTAACCCTAACCCTACCCCTAACCCTAACCCTAACCCTAACCCTAACCCTAACCCTGTAAATAAGGTCAGGGTTGTTTCACAGGGTTAGGGTCTTGCCTGCGCAGGACCCTAGGCCCGACACCTCTACTACGCAGGGATTTGGTTTTTTCACGGTACTACAGCAATACAGACAATTTCAGGGTCACTTGAAAGTGTATTCAATGGCTGGCTGAGGCTGTTTTACCCATAACCCACCAAATTTGTCGGACAGGTGGTGTTTTGTTCTTAGGTGGTGGTGGTGGTTGCCGGTCAGGAAACCCCATCTCGTTGCGTGCCATTGATGAGGTTGCGTCCCGTCCTGCAAGTGCAGTATTTGATTGGTCGAGATGACGACATTCATCACCGATTACGTCGTGTTCCAAAGAATAAGCATACACAAGGACTGAACATAATAGAGGTATCGACACCGCACCGCGATGGAAGTACAAACATAAGGGTTAAGGGGAAAACGTGAATTGGACCGACTGCGAGTGAGGCCACGAGGTCATGTGAGAAGGAGATCAGACACTGCCAATGGCCGACATGAGGCCCGCCTTTCCGACGGAGGTCTCGATGCCCATACCAGCCATGGGGCTGCTTGCACCAACAGCATCTGATCCACTCGCCGCGATCTGGTGATGAGTGAGAGCGCCCGTGATATCGCTCTGGAGTTGCATCGGCACGAAAACAACCTTGCTCTGTGCGGATCGTGCCATCTGTTGGAGTGCTTCAAGTTGACGGATCTGCATGGCAGCGGGTGAAGCGAGGATATCGGCAGCCTGTCGCATGAGGCGAGCAGCGTCGACCTCGGCACGAGCAGCAATAACCTTGGACTCTCCAATACGCTTCTGCTGGGCTGCAGAGGAGAGCGAAGCTGCGACGTCGGCGGAGAACACAATATCCTTGATGAGGATACCCTCGATGGCGACACCCCACTTGTCGGCGACGTCACTGACGATCTCTTCAATCTCGAGGGCAATGGCATCGCGCTCAGTAACGACGGATTGCACTGCCCGTGCACCAACTACGTGACGAAGGGTCGTCTGCGCACGCTCGACAAGTGCAGTGCGCAAGTCCTGGATACCAAATGCAGCACGGTAAGGGTTGGTGATCTGATAATAGATGACGGAGTCAATCTCGACATTCACGTTGTCGCGGGTGATGACGGTTTGGCGGCCGATGGTCGCGATCTGAATCTTCACATCGACCACACGAAGGCGCTCAGAGCACACGTTGACTTGCACAAGACCAGGGTCGACAGCTTTATAGAACTGACCGAAGCGAGAGACAAGACCGACGGATCCTTGCTGAACCTCGCGGAAAGCTGGGAATACAGTGTCAGGGGACAAGCAGGAACGCAGAACGACGCAGCGCACGATTGGGACACGGGCAGCAAGGAATAGCACCACAGATACCAATGCAGGCACCGAGGGTGTTGATGAAGCTGCCATACACGCCATGTGTTACCCCTGACAAGCCCAAATCTTGTGCGTAGGATTGCTGGCAGGCGGGGACGAAGCGCGTTAGCCAAAGCAATGTTGAATTGCCTCGCAAAAATGACGCACCTGCATCTCCGAGCGCTTCAGGGGTTGGACGGTGATTAGACCATGATCCTTGTCGACATGCCTCTTGGGGACTGAGGAAGCCGCGGGGGCATCGGTGACACCAGGAGAAAGGTGATCAACGACATTTTCGTTTCCAGAAGAGGCGGTCGGAGAGCGATTTCCGCCATTACCACGCTTCATGTCAGAGACGGACATTTTGTGAACGGAAGAGCTGAGTTATTTAGAAAGCGAAGATATACTCTTGTGCCAAACTACTCGTTGACCGTTTATTGCAACGTCGTCGAGGAGAAGAGGCAGCAAAGGCTGGCAGACGGACAGCGGGTGCTTATAAGTTTGGGCGTCATTCGATGAAGGGGTGTTTCCGCCGGGCGGAACGGTGGAATGAATAGGACCCGCCACTCATCGCGCCCTCACGTGAACCCTTGCACCGCCCTGAACATTCTACCCCGACATGCGCAGTCGCACGTCTCAGCTTCCTTGGCACTGCTTTTTTCTACATGCCAGTCTCAGTACTCTCGTCCCACCAACCAATATCATCATCTCCCAATATCACCCAACCGTGTCATCCGCGTGGCGTGCACTGCTCGCAGTCACCAGCCTCAATCATTCGCCAGCTGGAAACTTAATTTGGGTATTCGTGGCGCTTCCATCTTGCACACCCATCTGGATGGAGGCACGGACAGGGCGCCGTGCCAGTGTGGAGCTCGCTCCTTCATTCTCGGGATACATCCCTGCTTGTTCCGCACCCAACTTGGCATCTACGAACCGACAACCCACTGCGGACTGATTAGCCGATCGCAATGCTCTTGGAATCTATTCTGCATTTTGTTGATGCAACGAATACTGTTGCTGAAGTCAGGGAAACCCGACTGCCGTAACCTTCACCAGGAAAGGGTCTGACTCCTCTTTCTTTACGCCGTCTAAAGGTCTAACCCTGTCTGGGTAGCTCGACTTGGAGCTATAGCCCTCCAGAAATATAACCAGTACTTGGGAAATGATGATATCATCAGCATCTGACATCTTTCCCTCTTTGTATACACACGGCCTCATCGACATGAATGTTTTGGTGGGTGAACCAACTCTTCGGGTGCAAATAGAAGACAGCCCGGGTTTCCAGCTTGGATGGGAATCACGTCGAGGCTCTTTCATTCCCTCCCATTCCCGCCCAGCCCGCATTGCGAATGGAACAACGGCCCCATTGGGCCAATAGCTTAATCCGGGGAAATAACCGGCGCCAGTTCACGATTCCGGCCAGGAAAGGCAGATAAGTACAGACCCGGCATGCTGGCATTTTTCTTGAGCATGAGCTGGTTGTACAGCTTTACAATTGTCGGATCGGCCGACGGCCCCTCCTCCAGCTGCGCGTTCTGCTCCTGGCCGTAATCGAACTGGACCCAACTTGAAATGGACTGAGACAATATACAGGGGTGAAGCATGCCCCACCAATGTTCTGGTGAAGAAGAAGAAAATGATTCAGGGAGGGCGATGCGTGGTTTACTAACAAAGACTGAACAGCGTCCCGAGGCTGGGCAGAGATCAACTGCGCAGAGCAATGCAGACCTGGATATATTTCACATTGATGGACTCTCGCGCTCCCTTGTCAATCCGGCAAGAAAAGGACTCTTCAACTGCACGACAATCTGCTCTGTTTTCTCAGCGTACCGCATTGCCTCGGAGAATCTCATATCGCTTTCCTTGTCCTGACCTCATGTCAGGTTCCATCCCACGCTACGTGCCCCATACTGCATCGAACAGGAGCATTCTAGTTCAAGCAAGATTTGGGAAACCCCATTCACAGCAGACTGGGCAATGAATCTACATCACCAGATTTCCCTTTTGTTTTCCGCCTTCAGTCGTTCGTTTTACATAGAAGGCGGATTTCTGGCATGCGACATAAGTCTCATTGAAGTCGTTTACAGAACTTTTTCAACTGTGTGCACCAAGTGAGTTCCCCCTTCCCTTCCCTTATCTGATTGTGGGGCAAGTGCAACTGATGCTTACACACAGAAGTGAGCCGATGCAAAATAACGGTAACGAGGCAGTGATGCGGCCCCCTAAATCCTGCACGTCCTGGACGAGGGATCTCCATCGTCGCCCTGCACCTTAAATCGCGCCAGCCGGGGGGGGGAAGACACTCTGAAAGCTCTACTTCGGATTCAATCAGAAGGGAGGGACCTGGTCTGGTCCCACACCTAGTTGTCGATTAAACTCCATGGGTAGAACATGTGGCAGTTATATTCTAGCAGGTGTGTCTCTCATGAGAGCCTGAACGATCAAATACTTTTCCTTGGAAACAGGGCCGCCTCCCAAACTCCATTTGTTGAACCCAGGAGGATCAACATGAGAGTGAACTACGTGAAGAAAGGAACATGGGATATTCAGGAGCTCGACATAGTCGCCTTCTCGGATGCCCTCTCAAGAGGTGATTCGTGGCTGAGCGGATCATGAGAAGAGAAGTATGGTTCTCGAAGGGAGGAATGAATCGATAGCCACTTGGAAGTTTGGAACAAAACATGTGCGACTGCTTATATAATGTGTACTGGAAGCTTGCCGCAGTTATTCGTGACTAAAAGCTGCGCCCATCTGCGGCGAATCCTGTATGCGACAAAGGGACACGAATCTGCCCGATTGGGAGGGCACAGAATCGAGTGGTAGGGGACGATGAGGAGGAAGCGCCGAGGAATTTTGCTTGTCTAATACGGAGAAGCGAAGGCGGCGCCGACGAACGCGTCCCTACGGCAAGCGTCAGTTGACGAGCGCCCACTGCGCACTCGTAATGTGCACAACCTCCGCCGTCTTACTTGTCTATTACAATCTAGGGACTCATCGCATAATAATTGCATCGGCAACGGCGGGTACGATGCCGAAAAGCGGCGTGTTGCGTCAAACGCGTCCCCAAGCCAGACAAGTCGCCGAGGTTTCACGTACGTTGCTTGCCGGCACCTGCACTTGCCTGTCCATAAATGTCCGCTCATTCCCTGCCAGGTTCTGCAGACAGACAAACCCCGTGCAACTTGCTAGTCAAGACTTTAGCACGCAACCGGCTTCATGCAATCTCGCTTTCAACAATCCTGGTCATACATTCAGAACCATCCAACCGCACAAGCCTTTCGACCCGTTTTCCAACGCGCAATGTTCCATCCGTACTACCGTCGTGGACCTTCCCGCCTTCTCTGGTTTCTCATCGGAGGAGGAGTCTTCGCCTGGTGGTATCACCACAGAGATAGGAAGGAGGCGATTATGCAGGGCAGAACCCCCGAGCAGTGGGGATGGCACGGGTGCCACAAATGGGGTAGAGAGAGGTGGTTAGAGAATGGCCCCCAACAGCGGCAAAACGGAGTTCCCGCTACGGGAACATCCGCCGCTCCCGCAGTGGCAGTCGATGCCAATAACAAGCCTGCGGCCACGACAACCCCTCAGCAGGGTGATCCCTGGGAGGCTGAGAGGGAGAAGATGAGGCGAGTTGGGCAGCAGTCGGTGGAAGCTGTACGTTTTCAATGAAAAGACTCTTATTGCGAGATCTAACGGGTGCCACAGGCTTCTGACATTGCCGAACTTAGTCTGGACGGTGTGTTATCCGCCGTAGAAGGACTTCGGAGCGTACGTTTGCCACATTTATCCTCCCGTTCAATTGCTCATTTTGATGCTCAGAAGCTCGCTGAGTTCCGTCAGCAACGGGAACAGCATCGTGCACGTTCACAGAGTGACCCCTTGAAGCCAACGGAGCCCGAGTACAAAGTGTAGAGGTGGGATGCGATTGCGAATCCAGCCTTTTAACTTGGAAGTTTGTATTGTTGCACACCAATCAAGTTATCTTTTATATGTTTGCAGTTGAGTGGCCGTACTTGTATGGACATTGAAAGGCGCCCAAGAGGGGCGTCACCTGACCCCTCGACCCGTGGGGAGGCGTTCCTCCCGGTCGTCCCCGCTATCCCACTCATCTTGCGTGCCTCGTATTCATGGCGATGCCGCTGCGTCTGCCTTGGCATACCTGATTAGAGATATCTACCCGCCCGGTCATGCCGGTGCCCTTAAGAGTATGTATATATACGTGCTTGTTACAGTTGCTCGCACATCTCATCGTCTACAACAAACAACCCAACCCTAGGCCTACCCACTAGCAATCAACCCACACACCATGTCTGTAACCAGGCCTGGCCAAACCGATCGCAAAGAACATCCGGAACACACCCCGACGCTCATTGAGGAGCTGGAAGCGGTACCCGCACAAGCAATGTCCTGGTTGTCCGAACACACCGCACGGCGCGAACGACTCCAAGCAATCAGAGAATCGGGCTGGGTATCCAGCTGGGGTTGGACACCACCAAAGACGAAAGATGTGGCGCAGGCCACCTCAGAGACTCCTGCTCCTTCCGTGATGGAGGATCCGAAGGTGGGGTACCCCTCTTCGTCTGGGAGTTATGACTCACTCCAGCAACGGGAATGGGTTCAGGTTGAGGGCATTCTTGAAGGATTGGGCGAGGCACAGCACGTAAGTGTGCTCTGTCCTAACAGAGATCTTGCCTAACTGTATCATGCAGATGAAGGAAAATATCCCGAAACCTCAGAGCTCTGAAACGAGGGCAGGCAACGCTCCGCCAAACCAAGACTCGGATGAAGAGCGTCGCGCAGAGCGGGAAAGACTCGAGATGTACAGCTTGATGGACTCTATCTAATCATCATGAAATGTACGCTTTGCAGAATCCATCAGAAAGGAATTGTATCCGTATGTATTTTCATCTTTCTATTCTGTACAATGGCTGCACGATGTACCGAAATCACCAATAATCCCTTGCTTTGAAAGTCAGTGAGAATGGGTTTGTTGGGGTTTAGACGAGATTGCTGGGATAGCTCCATTCCTGAAGTCCGACGAAGCCCTCCTTGATGCTGCGGGCGCTCACAAAACGGTAGAAAATGGAAATACTGCCTGCCTTGTCATTCGTCCCACTTGCCCTGCTGCCTCCGAATGGCTGCTGCCCCACAACAGCACCAGTCGATTTCTCATTGATGTAGAAGTTGCCGGCGGCGTTGCGCAATATGTTAGACGCAGTCAGCAGCGCCTTACGCTCCGTGCCAAAAATGCTCCCAGTCAAGCCATATTGCGTGGTCTCATCGATGAGATGCGCCGTCTTTTCATAGTCAGCATCCTCATACACGTACACCTACGAATCCGTTCAGCACAAATGGTACTCTTGGAACGAGATGATTCCCACAGTCAATACTGGCCCAAATATCTCTTCCACAATGGTGACTGACTTCGGATCCTTCGTGACGATGATAGTAGGCTGTATGAAATACCCTTTGGAATCGTCGCCGGTGCCGCCCACTATGAACTCTCCGCCGGCATCTTTCGCTTTCTTGATATAGCCCATGACCTTGTCATATGCGGCACGACCGCTGCGAGAGACTTCAACCTGATTCCTCATGCTGTGTAGACAGATACTCACATGACAGGTCCAAGGAAGTTACCCCATTCGGTAGGGTCGCCAACCTTGATCGCCTTGGTCTCGCTCACAAGCTTCTCCTTGAAACCGTCCTCCCAAAGGCTCCTGGGAACGTACAAGCGAGAACATGCAGAACACTTCTGGCCTTGGTACTCGAACGCCCCACGCACAGTCTGATGAACAGCGTTCTCGACGTCGGCCGAGGCATGGACAAGGTGGAAGTTCTTCCCGCCCGTTTCGCCAACGATTCGCGGGTAAGCCTTGTACTTGTCCAGATTCAGGGCGATGTCCTTCCACAGCTTGCGGAAGACGAAAGTGCTGCCAGTGAAGTGGAGGCCGGCAAAGTGCGGGGAGGAAATTGCCTTTGCGACAACCTCCTCAGCGGGCCCTGGTACGAATTGGATTACGCCAGGTGGTACACCGGCCTCGGTGAGAAGTTGGTGAGTGATGTAGTTGGCATATACAGCCATAGGGGAGGGTTTCCAAAGGGCAACATTGCCAACCATGGCAGGTGCTGCAAGCGTAATCAGCCTGCTGCCACGAGAAGAGAAGCCACGGAACATACCGCCAGAGAGGTTTCCGCCTATAGCCGTGAAGTTGAAAGGAGAAACCGCGAGGATAAAGCCCTCAAGTGCGCGGTATTCCACGCGGCTGGATAACAGCAAACATCAGGAATTGTGTATGTATGGGAAGCGGACAGATCACACGTACTTCCACACGCCCGCAGAGTTCTTTTCGGGTTGCTGGGAGTACAGCTGCTCAACATACTTGACACCGAACCTGAAGAAGTCTGCCATCTGTACGAGTATTCATTTAGTCCTCGGAGCCCGGAATAGCGCAATTACGCCAGCGAGAGTACGAACCTCTGCTGCAGCATCGATCTCGGCCTGCCAAGCGGTCTTGCCCTGGCCAATCATAGTGGCAGCGAGGAGCTTGTACCTGTATTTTCCGCTGATGAGGTCGGCAGCCTTGAGGAAGACGGCAGCGCGCTCGCTCCAGGGCAGGAGCTCCCACTCCTTCTTGGCTGCAAGGGCACCTGAAATGGCGGCGTCGATGAGCTCTGGTGTAGCTTCATGGTACGTGCAGAGATGGGAAGCATGCGCGTGAGGGATAGGCTGCTTGGCGAGCTTGCCTGTCTTGACCTACACGGATCTCGAGTGGGAACAGATAGCGCTAGAGAGGAGGTACACGTACATCCCTGCCATTGACGACGCAATGCACCTCGAAAGGGAGCTCCTGCTTCATCTGGTCGATGGCTGCCTGGAGTGCCTTACGCTCAGGCGAGCCCGGTGCATAGTGTTTCTTGAGTTATGAGATAAGGAGGGCGCATATAGGATAGTGATGAACGTACCATGGGCTCATTGTCGACCTGAGGCACCTTGAAGGTAGCGAGAGTAGGTGTAGACATAGCTAAGTAACAAGGAGTAAGATGACAGAGAAGGTGAGAGAGAGGGAAAGAGGAGCGTTGGATGGTCCATATGGGCCTAATTGGCTCGGGTAACGGAGAATTCGGGTTCGCTTCACGGCTCTCAACAGGGTGCGATGGGCGCCTCACTTTACACCGAACAGCCGACTGACGCATGCATGTCAATACACCACCGGATCTTGACAATTTCAACATTTTGCAGTCTAAATTCACAACAAATCTGGTCACGTTCTCGTCAGTGAGAAGACGGAGTGGAGAATATGTCAGTCCTTCTTGAAACGTCCCTAGGTGACATCGTCATAGACTTGGAGGTCGACTTGTGTCCAAAAACATCGGAGAACTTTCTCAAACTATGCAAAGTCTACTACTACAACCTCAATGCGTTCTTTAATGGTCTGTTCATTTTAATACGTTAATGTAAGCTGCGTGATCTTACTGACGCGCACTTCTACCAGTCTCCAAAGACTTCCTCGCACAAACAGGTGATCCCAGTGCCACCGGTACAGGCGGGGAGTCTATTTGGTCACTACTTTCCGACTCGAGCAACTCGAACAAATCGCCCCGCTATTTCACCCCCGAGATTCGTCCCAAGCTGAAGCACACTTCCAAGGGAACCGTCTCCATGGCTGTCGCGTCCACACCAGACGGAAAGGGCGGTTGCGGCAGCCAGTTCTTCATGACCCTTGCGGACAATATCGAGTACCTCGATGGCAAGCACGCCGTATTTGGACACGTAGTGGAGGGACTGGAGACGCTAGATAAACTGAATCAGGTTTATGTCGATCAAGATGGGAGACCGTTGAAGGATGTCAGAATAAGGCATGTTATTATTCTAGGTGCGCATAATTCCCCGCCGCTGTTCGCTACAGTGACTCATCACATGCAGACGACCCCTTCCCCGATCCTCCTGGACTGACCATCCCGCCCTCGTCTCCTAATCGCATACCTGACGACCCCTCCGTCGTGCCTCGTATCGCCGAAGATGAGGATGCCCTGCTCGAACTGCCCGAGGACGAAGCCGAAAAGCAACGACGAGAAGCGGCAGCGAAAGCATCCGCCCTGACGCTCGAGATGGTGGGCGACTTGCCCTTCGCCAACGTTCGTCCTCCCGAGAACGTGCTTTTCGTGTGCAAACTCAACAGTGTGACGCGGGACGAGGATCTTGAGCTCATCTTCTCCCGTTTTGGAAAGATCATGAGCTGTCAAGTGATTAGGGACAAAAAGACTGGCGACAGTCTGCAGTATGCATTCATTGAGTTTGATAAAAGGGAGGACGCAGAGCAGGCGTACTTCAAGATGCAGAACGTTCTAGTTGATGATAGGCGAATATGGGTTGATTTGTGAGTTGCTGACTTGTGTTACATTGAGCATATGCTGATGCTGTCCTAGCTCACAATCCGTCGCGCGCATGAACAACTCATGGTCCAACAATCCGCGCCGACCTCCTGGCGGCGGGGGAATGGGTGGCGGCCGCGGCCGTGGTGGTCACTCTGAATCGTTCGGCGGGCGGGATGACCTACAGGCCGCACGACGCTACAGAGACGAAGAACACGCGAGTGGTGGTGGCTCGTATGGAATGGTATTCGATGTTGCTGATCAGCGTGACCGGGGACGGAATGGGAGCCAACGGGAAGACGACGGCCGGGATAAGCGGAGGAGAGACAAGGAGCCCACCGAGGACCGAGAAAGAGATAGACGGAATTACCGCGAATTCGACCGGGAACGTTCGCCAAGAAGTGACCGGCTGCGAGATCGCGACGGAGAGCAGGACCGGGAAAGAGAAAGACGAAGGAATGGCGAACGCGACCGTGAACGTCGAGACGGAATGAAGGATGGCTACAGGAGGGACGACAGAGACCGAGAGAGAGACCGGGACCGGGACTACCGCAGATGAGTGAATTGTTGTATCCCAGCGCATTACTTTCCTTGCGGACTTAAGCGTGCGACTGTGAAGGCTGCTGCGGGGATTGTAGGCGCATGCTATTTTTGTGCCAAGCGCCGAAGCCAGACCGCCACGTTATGCTGGTATTATTCGCCCATTCTTCATCAAGGGTTGACCGCATCGCATCGCTCTCAAATTACAGCCTCTCAACCCCTATGAATCGAATCCCATCAATTTACTTACAATCACAAGGAACAAATATAATTTGTTTCGCTTTTGCCCGTCCTATCCCCTTGCAACACAGAAGGTTCCCAACGTCAGTTGAACCGTTCTGCATCGCCGCGGTGTCCCCAGGCTGCGGTTCGTCGTTGCGCAGTGCACGGTATCGCATTCATAACCAGCAAGGAGTCCGTGTACATCCCTACCCTGTTCAATGTGTCTGCGCCTCTTGTTCGGTTGCCCATCCTTCCGCGCCCTATGCCTGCAATGGGAAGGTGTAACAGTGGGTTTAAGTAGCAGCCTTTGCCTTCGGTGTTGCATGACAACTCTCACGCTTGATCGCCCTGACGACTGACTGAACAGTGTAAAAAATCCACCGCAATCCACTATCAACGTCTATCTTACTTCTTCTGCTGCACTAATTGATCCATTCTCGATTAAATCGGGCTGGTCGCTCTTATAACACACGTCGGACGACAGTTGCCCCTATTTTCTCAGTATCGAGCCCCTCACAGACCGATCTCTCTCCTCTTGCGACTGAACAACAAACGACATCCCAACTCTCTGCCGCTTCGACGCATACTCCCTTTACACCGCCCAGAACATGCTGCAGACGACCACCAACCAACTCTTCTCTAGTGCAGCGGCAGACCTCATTCTCCGGACCAGCGATTGTGTGGACTTCCATGTCTTTTCCGCAATCCTCGCAGAGGCATCCCCATTCTTCGCCGACCTGCTCTCACTGCCCCAGCCCACATCCACCACTGCCCAGCCATCGACATTACTGCCTATTCGAACACCGTTGTCTCATGTCATCGATGTGACTGAGATGGCAGATGTACTAGAGCCTCTGCTTGGGTTTGTCTACCCACGGCCTGATCCACCAATTGACAAGCTAGAGAACCTCCGTCCCGTTATCGCAGCCGCCTTCAAGTACGACTGTACGGCCGCCATCACAAGCCTGCGCCGCCTTCTTGTGTCTCCTCAATTCCTTGAAAAGGAACCCACACGTGTGTATGCCATTGCGTGCATGCACGAACTGCAGGAGGAAGCTAAGCTGGCATCTCTGCACACGCTCAAGCTTGATTTATTGGCTGGACCCCTGCCGGCGGAGCTCAAGTACATCAGCGCGTTCGACTATCACCGGCTACTGCAGTTGCACAAAGAGAGGAGGGAAAGGGCGTGTGAGCTGTTGGTGAGGCCGGAGGAGGTCAGGTGTGCGAATTGCACAGCGGTGCAGTTTGGAAAGCCATGTATTCCCAAGTGGTGGGATGACTTCGAGACGAGGGCAAAGGAGGAACTGAGGAAACATCCTGTGTCTGACACTATATTTTGTGCGTTGATGAACGATCATCCACTCCCATGTTCTGACTCCCCTTTAGCTCTTCAATTCCTCTCGCAGTCCGCAACGGCAGGTTGTCCACGTTGTGGCACCAGCCTCCTTGCCTCACACGACGCTCTCACTAAGCTCAAGGCATCTATCGACTCCCTTCCTTCTACTGTTTGAATGGATCATTTTACTACTCCTGTATCAGCCTGATTCCGAACATTCTTCTTCGTGAACTCATCCACTGTAGCTGTACAATTCCCTCAGTTACCTGTTATTATTAGGATACCTGTCATGCGATGCAATACCTTCTATTTTCTTCATCAGCTTCTGGCCGAGGTGCAGATGAAATCCGGTGTTCTGTGATGCCAAGTTCGACGTTGGCAAGGACACCTTTCACCACATCTCCGAGACTCGGTTCCGACAAAACCTGTCCTGTGGCGATGTAGAAGCTTGGACCCTGGAGGGTCGCGGTCAGTTACGATTGACCACCACCCAGAGCGTACATATTCAAGATGGTGAACATATTGACCACTGATATCAACATTATTGTTCTAACATGGAGACTAGGCACGCAATGAAGAAAAGGCGCAGTCCATGCTGTACCGCTTTCGGGAGGCGCAAGCTGCAGAGTTGGGTCTCGCCACTAAAGGCTCCAAGCGGCCGCGGATGGCAAGCGCGTGCAAGTCTTTGAGAGATTGTGAGCGGTGGAGGGGAGAGATCCTGCGAGAAATCAGCAGGAAGGTGTCAAAGATACAAGACGGTATGCATGTTAATGTATTTCTGCACAGATAGATACTGACAGAGTCTACAGCTGGACTGACCGACTATGAAGTGCGCGATTTGAACGATGAGATCAACAAGCTTATGCGGGAGAAACGGCACTGGGAGAATCAGATCATTGCACTTGGAGGAGCAAACTATCGGAGAAATGTGGCAATGGTGGATGAAGATGGGCAGGAGGTGCCCGGTACCAGAGGGTATAAGTACTTTGGACGTGCACGAGACCTGCCCGGAGTGAAGGAGCTCTTTGCCACAAAAGGTGTGTTGCATTTCCTTCTGTTCACACCCAGATAATTCACTAGAAGCTGCAGCATCTAAAGAAGAAGAAGAGTCGCATGTACTCCAGCGATATAAGCAATATCTGGATCAACCACCCTCGTACACCGGCGATGAAGACGAAGATGACGGAACGCTGCTGGCATTCGAGCGCGAAGCTGAGGAGGAAGGTATGATACACTATCCTTTTCACTGCGCCTTCATTTACTCACTGAATACCAGACTGGGCGGAGGCATACACATCTTTGCAGCAAGCGCTCAGTCTTCCTGAAACTCCTCCACCAGAGATGCCCATCCCTCCCGCCGAACCGCTCAAAACTGCTGGTCAATTAAAAGAGGGAGAGGAACCGAGTAATCCTTTGGCATGGTTAGGTGATCAGATCAAGCCACCAAAAATGCCGTCAGAGGAGGAGATGGAAAAGGTATTACTCGAGATGAGGAAGCAGGTGCTCCTACGCGAGTATGCGGCCGAATGAAAGTAATATCAGTGTACTTCCCGGACTTGTATTTTTGCCAAACATCATTGATGCGCGAATCATTACACAGTCTCTGTATTGATCTCTGGCTCGGCAACGGTGATCGGGACCATGGGCTCCGGCGGTTCGGCGTCATGGAGTGCCTTCAAGCTTTTGCCATCCGACTGATCAGATTTTTGATCTCGAAGCCACCTTTCTTTCGGTCCGCTCCACCCAAGCCAGGTCGTCGCCACCGGCCCTCGGGCCAGCAAGACAACCAGAGCTCTGCGTATTGGGATGAGTGACATCAACTTGACTATGAAGTGATGAACTCACAACCCGACCCAGGCGAGATTCATACCACCATTGGCATAGTTCCCATGAGCAGTGAATATTCGCGTTCCCGCGGAAGTACCGATGAATTGCCCGAGAAATATGGCGATGATGTAAACGGCGTTAATACGAGCGCGAGCGTCTGCATTGATACTAGGGAGTTGAGTGCCCATTAACGAAAGCTAGCAACCAAAGCAGATAAATACGTACGCAAAATAGCGGGTCGCACTGCTGACCTGCTGCATTGAGTCGAAAACATCAATGACTCGGAGAATTATTAGACCAGAATCTCTCGCACACAATTTAGAACTCACGGAAAGCAACAACAACGATTGCACCTATACTTCTCGTCGCTGCAGCCGTATCAATTGCGAACGTGAGCATAAGACCAAGGATGCCGAACAGCACCCCAAACCAGGGATTCACTGAATACAGTCAATTGCAAGAAGTAGGCGGGGGGGACTGAGAAGTCATTCACGTCGATCAACAATTTTCCCCACGAGCGGCCCAGTTGCAACTCCGAGAATCCCGACGAGACCAAACAGACCGATGTCAAGACTAAGAAAGTGATTGAGCATATGGTATTTAAGATGCAGATGTTTCTCACGTGCTGTAATAATAAGGAGAACCACCAAGTAAGAACGTCAGAGTGACCTAATCATGGTCAACGAGTTCTCTGTCAACGGTCGGGTTCTTCATACCCAAAAGCTCGCATACACCGCGTTCACGCACAGTCCGATAATGGCGGACTGGATCAGGACTGGCTCGGTCACCGCGAACTTTAACACCGTGTACAAAATCTGTCCGAAGTGTATCACATATCCTTGAAACGGAGGGCAAGTTGACGTACTTGGATGTACGATAGACCCAGTTTCTTGTCAGGCACGTCCGGCAGGATGAAATAAAGAATCAGTAATAAACTATAATGAATCTCAAGAGATTATTAGCAGCGAGGCTCTGGGGAAGAGATTAGAGAGGTTACCCCCATGGACATCCAATAGATATTACGCCAGTACGAAAATTGGGCGATGACACCACCCAGGACTCTTGCAACAAGAATACCCAACAGCAGACCTTCACTGTATCAGATCAGGAGCATCGTACTGACGTTCGGGACTCGCCTGACAATACTATAGAGAGCGCAGTGCCCCGTTTATGAGCGGGGGCAAGATCCACGGTCAATGGCATGATGATTTGGGGCGTGACAGCAACGAGTCCGGCAATGAAAGACAATGTTTCGAAGGCGACGAGGGACTGTGTCAAGGCCAGACCCAGAGTGACACTCCCAGCACAGAAAAGTAAAGCAAACAGCAACTCTCTTCGTCTGACCATGTCGCCAAGAGGAGTAACAAGTAGTAGTCCCGCGGCATATCCGGCCTGCGTGAGAGTCGGCACATTTGCGATCCGATCATAGTCTACTTGATATGCCGAAGCGAGTTGAATCAGGATTGGTTGACAGTAGTATAGGTTGGCGCCGGTGAACGTCCCAGTAACGGCAAAGACAATGTTGAGAAGCAGACTGAATTCGAAAGGTCGGGCCGTATCATGACGGAGTTGGTGAGGTATAGGAAAGACGCCAAAGTCCCGATTATGTTCTTGAGCCGAATTGGTTGACGAATCGCCTTTGTCTGCATCTGCCCCAGCTATCATCCTGAAGGGCACAACAGAGCAAGAGGGCACGTTCTATTGTCTAGAGTATCGAAGCATAGTTAGCATGACAGGCGATAAATAGGCGTTTCTGCGAAGGGTCGACACATGCAGGCCAAAGGATGCAAGGCATAGCCACCCCGGTTATCCAGACGAGTCATCCTGAGTACGAATAAATATTACATGATATATGCGGTCTATGATGGTATGGTTGTTACAAATGCAAATTTCCCGTAAATGATAGTGCTACAAATAACCTCTGACCGTTTCGGGCTGTTCACGCGGATGCTCTATGTTCTTCCGCAGGTTGAGTGGTTCCCGTCGTCGTTTCATCTTCAGGCTCATCCGCGAGTGCATGGTCCTCTGCGGTGTTTGGTTCCTGAGGCACTGGCACTGGTCGATGCTCCGACGGCGGGGGTGCTTGCCTCTCCACATCGTTATGGTTCGGCACTGGCTGCCGCCTGATGCTCTTGATGTCTCCAGTCCAACCAATCCAAGTCTTTGCCGTGGGTCCCCGCACCAAGAGAGCGAACAATGCGCTGGTCAAAGAGTCAGACATTCACCCATGCAGAATTTTGCAAGATCGTGCTCACAATCCGATTAGTGCAAGACAGAAGCCACCCGCAGCACGTTGACCGTACTGCAAGAAAATGCGACTGCCAACGGAAGACCCGATAACTTGACCCAAGAACACAGAGATGATGTACACCGAATTGATACGGGCACGAGCCGCGGGATTGATCCTGAAGAGACGAGATTAATGTAAGCCAAAGCGACTAGGTAGAATTTGACATACGCAAAATTGCGGGTGCTGTTGCTGACCTGCTGGAGCTGTTGTGCAACATCAAGAGCTGGAGACTGATCAGTATGCTTATTACGAAGTATCATGATCAAGCTCACTGAAGCAAGTGACAACAATAGCACCAATGTTAACGATTCCAGCTCCAGTATATATGGTAAAAGAAAGCAACAAGCCGAGAAGGCCGAACAGAGTGCCGAACCACGGAATCACTACATCGAGTAAGAGCCACATGTCTGAAACGGTGCAAATTGCTTACGTTTGTCGACGAACCGTCCAACAAAAGGTGAAGTCATAACACCAAGCATACCAATCAGACCGAATAGACCAATAGCCAAAGTATTGTAGTTATAGGGTTCTCCGCCGAGCAAGAAAGTGAGGGTGACCCAGAAGCAAGAGAAGACCGAGCTGCAGGCCAGGCCAATCATGCAGGACTGGATGAGGACTGGCTCCGTGACAGCAAACTTGGCCATACTGAATAAAATTTGCCAATATGACAGGTTGAGGCCTTTGTCGGGGAAGTCGGGTAACACAAAGTAGAGAACGATCAAGATGAGGAAATGAAGCTGAATGATACGTCAGCGAGACTCTTATGAACATATCCCATATGTGGGACGTACCCCAACCGACATCCAATATACATTCCGCCAACTCGAAAACTCTCCGATGATCCCGCCCAGTACTCGAGCGATGAGAATACCCAGCAGCAGGCCAGATAAGACGATCGAGATTGCAGACGCGCGCTTATGCGGGGGGGCTAAGTCTGCTGCAAAGGGGAGCATGACTTGCGGCGTTACGGCTGCAATACCGGAGAGGAATGAGAGCGCTTCAAAGAGTTCGAGAGACTTTGTTGCAGCCAGGCCGATCGTCAGCGACCCGGCACATACTAGGAGCGCAAGGAGAAGTTCCCGTCTCCGAATCATATCCCCGAGGGGTGTTACGAAGAGGAGGCCGGCTGCGTAACTGTGTGCACAGTGAGCATCTCCCTATACTAGAATGGGGCACACTGCTTACCCAGCTTGTGTCAAGGTCGGGACATTGGAGATGCGATCGTACGATGTCCCAAAGTCGTTCGCAAGTTCGATGAGCAATGGCTGGGAGTAGTACAGATTCGCTACTGTGAAGGTGCTGGCAACACCAAACACGGCATTAAGAAGGGTTGTGAACTTGAACCCAACATTTGGGTCATGCCGCTGCTTCTTTGGTATAGGAAGAAAGCCAAAGTCTCGTGTTCGGATCGGCTCGTTCGCCTTCTCGTGCTCCGGTGAAGATTCGACAACACCTGTACGCTCCGTGTCCTGTGGTAGCGGCATGCCACCCTTGTCGTCCGGAGGTGCTTCGGGTGCGACTGTTTTTTCGCTGCTACTATCGCTTGTTGGAAGCTTCTCGACGTCCAGAGAGATGGACATAGCTGTACGCTGATGGCGAGTGTTAAGCTATGTGGAGGGCGTTGAGGAGTAAGGTATAGTCGAAGGGAACGAAGCAGTTGAGCGGGCCGTGCATATTTAAATGTATATCTCTCAGGGCGTGTGTTGTGCTCTCTGCTGTCGGTTGCACCATTCCCCGGTTGAACGATGGCCGGCCTCGTTCGGCCGGTCCGTTGTTCCTGCGCAAAAAAATAGTACAGCCACTCAAATATTCCTACAAGACTTTTAAGTGTGATGACGAATCTGATATCTGATTGGCAGGCGACATTAACTGACAATTATCATACTTTGTTCTTTCGCAGTTCCTCTTCGTGACGAGGAGATACAACCTACTTCAAAATATCTAAAAGTAGCTGTATCTTCATCAGCGGCAATCACTACGTCTCAATAAGAAAAAAAATCAGAAGGAATCAGCTAGAATCCCCAGTTTTTTGCCCCACGAAAACGTGTGGCTCGTAGGATCGGCCGCTGACGATCTAAATTTATTCAGAGATATCATCCAATAGTTTTGCAATCGGCGGTAACTCGATCGTGCTCGGCGATATGACTTTTTCGATTCCAAATATTAGCTATGAGTTAGGTTGACGTTGTTGAGAGGGTTGAGCGAGGTGATATGGTCGTTAATATGTCCATAAAATAGCATTGTTGCTTTTCACGCTTTTACGGGGGCCAAGAGCGGGTGCTGTTCGGAGCTTGTTAGCCAGGCACGTTTCTCGGCTGACGAAGAAAGAGGACCATCACGGCACGGCCGGGATCAAATTAAACGGAAGCAAAAGTGGGGCACGGGGTCCCCTCTTGGAAGGGCGCGACTGACGGCAAAAGGTCCAATCGTCTGTTCAACGCCAGACAATACTTCTTAGTCGACAACGTCCACGTACGTCTGCCTCGTCGTGATCGTATTACTTAACGCTCGACGCGAATTAGCTGGTGGGAAGGGTTAGGTTGCTGCCGTTGCTGCTGGTGTTGCTGTTTGTTTGCAGAGGTTCGCATTTACTATATATATGCTGTTAAGAGACGAGATACTGACTATGCAACCAGTTTGAAGAGAGTCAACGCGGTTGAGATATCAGAAGAAAATATGGCTTACTCGAGAAAGGGTTGCTTCAAGTGTGGAAACCGTGAGTATATCATCGGAAGGAAATGTTCACATGGTCCTCATCTGAATTGTACTTATCAGTCGGGCACATCGCTGAGTCATGCGCGTCTGAACAGCGCCTGTGCTACAACTGTCGTCAGCCAGGCCACGAAAGTGCCAACTGTCCGGCTCCGCGCACTGTCAGTGCCAAGCAGTGCTACTCGTGTGGTGGAATCGGGCATGTGCAGGCCGACTGCCCCAGTCTGAGGGTGGCGGCGGCTGCGTCTGGTGGAGGGACCATGAAGTGCTACGTAAGCAGGCTTGTTGTGTGAGGGTGGATGGGATGTTGATGGATGTTGCTTGGTGTAGAACTGTGGTCGCATTGTGAGTAGTCCGACAGCGTTTTCCCGCATGTCATCCTGACCCATATATCAGGGTCACATCGCACGTCTTTGCCCCACTAGCAACTCGGGCTTCTCCATGGCTTTCCGCGGTGGACCTGGTGCCGGTCGTGGTGGTCCGCCCGGAGGAGGTCCCATCAAGTGTTACCGCTGCGGGCAGCTCAACCACTATGCCCGTGACTGTATGGCCGCGCCTGGAACGACCCCGGCGCTGGATGCGCCATTGGCCGCTGGAAGCGCTGCCGGGGTGAGGCCCTCGAAGACTTGCTACCGGTGCCACGAGGAGGGTCACGTAAGAGTATTCTAGTCAACAGATAAGGGTGATTTACTGAAATTGTGAAATTCAGATCGCTCGTGACTGCCCCCAGGCTGCCGAGCTGGGTGTGTAGATAAGGGGCACAAAGATATTCAACCTCAGTCGAAATGACTGACGAGTTTCTAATTATGGTCTCGTAGTTTACCTATCTTCTTGTTTGCTAAAAGAAATGAATTATATGGTTGATGTGTTTTCTCTGATATGATTGTTCCTGTTCGAGTTTCTCCAATGACCGATCGGGTTGATGGGATCGACACCGAGGGTGAGGATAAGAGGAATATGTTGGTGGGTGTAGGAGTGATTTACCCCACACTGCATGTCGAGCCCTTCTAGGCCTTGATATATTACGGGATGATACACTCACTGACCGCCTGCTCTCGTTATCAGAGTTCAAGTAGTCCCATGGGACGAGCGCTTAGTTGGAATATGTTGCTTCTTGGGTTAAAATGGAATGTATTGATAATCGCTGAGTAATCACGGCCAGCATTCAATCGAGTGCGCGCGTTCACCTCTACCTTATCGTGTGCCGCGGGTACAGGGCGGACATTAGGCCAACCCCCGTCCCAAGCACAACTCATTACCCCCTCCCTCATTCCCATCCTCTCTTTCTTCTTGTCCACCACCTAACCAACCTCGTTCGAAATCACTCTTTCTTACAGGTTTATACCTATCGAACACTTGGTCAAATAAGATGGACGCTGCTTACGCTTTCCCTGACGCACCGGTCACCCACATCGGTGTGCGCAGTCTGGGTGACAAAGAGTCGACACCCATCGACCTTTCTCACCATCTCTCTGATATGTCCAATGCACGCATAGCATCCCCCCTCAAGGCGCTCATGAAGTACATGGCACAGCCGGGAATGATCAGCATGTCGGGTGGTACGTCGGCTTCGTCTTCCAAGTGCCTACGGACCCTCAATAACGCTTAGGCCTCCCGCATGAGTCGTACTTCCCCTTCGAAGAGATCTCAGCACAGACCGCTGTACCCGACACATTCTCCCTGACACCCGAGGAGAAGTCTTCCTTCAGCTGGCTGTGGAACCTCTTCGGTGCTCCCACCCGCAAGACGAAGGAGGTCACGATCCCAAAACGTGCGGCTGGCGGAGACATGGAGGCCGTGCAGCTCGCGACTGCGCTTCAATACGGACAGGCAACCGGTTTGCCCCTCCTGCAGAAGTTCATCAACGAGTTCGTGCAGAGGGTGTACCGCCCCATCAACCCACTCACGACTACGCTTGTCCATGTTGGCAACACTGACGGGTGGGCCAAAGCCGTCCTCACCCTCTGTAACCACGGTGAGGGCATCCTCGTCGAGGAATATACCTATCCCTCTGCGATTGCCTCTGCCTGGCCCATCGGTGTTCGCCCTGTGCCTGTCAAGATGGATAGCGAGGGGATGCTCGCTAATGACCTTGACCACGTCCTCAGCGGATGGGACGTCGAGGCTAGGGGCGGCATGAAGAAGCCTCATGTGATGTACACTGTGCCTGTTGGCCAGAACCCATGCGGAACCACCATGAGCGAGAAGAGAAAGAAGGAGATCTACGCGGTCTGTGTCAAGCATGGTGGGTCTGACCTCGGTGCAGAACGTTCCTTCTTGCTGATTGACCATTAGACGTCATTATCGTCGAGGATGACCCGTATTACTTCCTGCAGTGCGGTACCTATGTTCCCAAGGCACAAAGGACCACTGCGAAGGTGGCCAAGGATGGCAAGGATGCTGAGGAGGCGTTCATCCAAAGTCTTGCACCCAGCTACCTGCGTGTCGACTACCAGGGCCGCGTCATCCGCTTGGACACTTTCTCCAAGACGATCGCACCCGGCTCGCGTCTTGGATTCTTCACTTGCAACCCAATGTTCGCTGAACGGCTCCTTCGTGCTGGCGAGACGTCGACTCAGGCACCTTGCGGGTTCGGTCAGGCCCTCATCACCTCGCTGCTCAACGGATGGGGTATGAGCGGCTGGATCCGCTGGTTACGCGGCATCCGTGCGCAGTACACGATGCGTCGCGACATGTGCATGGACGCGCTGTACAACCACTTTGACTTGCGTGAGGACCTGCGTGCGAGCAGCATCCGGGCGTGGGACGGCGCGCCCGTGCTTGTCGCACACAAGAAGGGCGCCGTCGCCCAGGAGAAGTACGATTCGACGACGTCACTCTTCTCCATCGTCCCTCCTGTTGCGGGCATGTTCCTCTGGATTCAAGTCCATGTGTATAACCACCCGGCATACGACGACCTCGTTCGCAGCGGGATGAGCGAGAGCCTTGCTAGTGCGACGCTCACATTCCGCCTGTGGAAGAAGCTCGTGGACAACAAGGTCCTCTGGTCCCCTGGCTGGTTCTTCGCCACCGATGGTGTGCAGCCTGATATCGGCGAGATGGGCTTCAACCCCGCTGTGAAGGCCAAGGGCATGGAGGGGTGCTTCCGTGTTGCCTACTCCAGCGCCTCCCCAGAGGAGATGAATAAGGCCATGGACGTGTTTGCGAAGCAGGTGGTGAAGTTCTTTGAGTGAAGAGCGTCCATCATTAGCCCCAATTTGGTACAGTAGACGGAAGGACAAAATAGTGGGGCATACGCACTGTCTGCGAGACGAGTGTACACTAGTCTGATTTACTTTCCTTTATTCGTGGATGATCTGATGTAACTGTATCCGGGTCGTGCCTATATAACCTGGAAGACTACGATGTGCGATAAATACATAACGTACAAGTGGATGTGAATGTTTTACAACGATGTGTAGACCGTGATTAAGTTCGTTTCGAAAGCATCTGATGTTTGATGTGTTCTTGCAGAAGCACACCTACAACAATAATCTTGTAAGTGTTGCAAGCCCTGCGAGTAACCATTCCTTACCCAATACAGCCAACGCGCTACCATCAAAAGCTCTGTACAAATCTCTTACTCTGCCATCCCCTTCTCTATCCACACGGCTTTCCTCGTCCTCCTCCTCACTCTCTTCTTCTGGACCGTCTCCACCAAGCTCCCTGGTCATCTTCCCCCCATGTTTCGCACGGTTTTTCTGGTCAAGCTTAAGACGAGCGAGCCTTCGTTCTCTTTTAGCTCGAGCGGAGCTTTGGAAGAGGAGGGACTGTGAGGCATATTGCGAAGCAGCCATGTGGTGGATCGTCTTGAGTAGATCCTGGATGGCGATCAGCTGCCTTCTTTACCTTGCGTATAGAAACACACTGAGGAGGGAGGAGGGAGCTCTGTCGTATATAATGAGTCTAAGCGAGTGGGAAGTCTACGTCTGCTTACCTCCAGCTTTCAACTCGGCAGGAGGGACAGACAGTTCAAGTTCACCGAGAGAGAAACGCTGTCGTCGTCTTCGTCGTGTCTTCTCCTTACCACCAATTTCCTCATCATGCTCTTCTTCTCCATTCTCCTCTTCAACATCAACAAACGACGCGCTCTGCTTCTCCCTCATCGCGGCCTGCCTTGCCGATCTTCTCACCCCTGGATTCAGCACCACTTGGTTTCCCGCCCTGTCCTTCCCTCCCTGTCCTCGTGTGATGCGTCGCCGTTCTGAGGAGCGGAGGGGGGCACCAGAGGGGAGGAGACGTCGGGCGATACTGTCTAGCGCTGTGATGGTGTGGCGAGGCATCGTGGTGGTTGCAGACGGAGACGCGTGAATTGAGGAACGCGCGTTACAACGTGTCACGGGAACAAGAACGGAAATTGGAGAATTGACAATAATTGATTTGGTATTATACAATGACAACTTCTGAGCAGCCCTGCAGTGTCTGCAGCGGTTCATAATGCCGCTCTCGTCCAACATGACAATGCTACGCCGTCGGTGATTCGCCCGCCTTCTGTGCCTCCAATGCCGCCTTCGCCTCTTCTGGGAACGGCAGGGATTTCGTCCAACTCAAACTATCTCCTGGCATCTGCCCATCATCCCACCTCTTAGTAATGTTACGTAGACTGGGGTTCTTCTCTCCCGGGTAGACGACGAGCCGTCTCATGCGCTTGTCACGCAACTTGTTCTTGGGTAACATGCCTGATACTGCCAACTTGATGATCTACGACAGTTAACATATGCTCATATGTGCTCAGAGAAGGCACGTTGACGCACCTTATCAGGCCGCTTCTCTTGCATAACCTTGTAGGGAATCTCCTTCAACCCTCCTGGCCGACCGGTATGATGCCGGTACATGATCTGGTCTGCTTTGTTACCAGTGACGACGACATGCTTTGCATTAGTGACAACCACACGGTCACCAACATCCGCTGTATATTCACATAAGCTACATGGTAGACTATACGAGAAAGATGACTAACCTGAACGATCGTATATTGGCTTGTGCTTCCCCATAAGAACTTTGGCAATATTGGCTGCGAGAGGCCCGAGTGTGCGACCTTTGGCGTCGACATGATGCCATAGTCGTGCTGTCGCGAGCGCAGTCTACATATTCCGTTTAATATTTGTTGTATTCCTTTGAGAAATTTATACATACATTTCCAATGATATGGGACATGTTGGTCGACGCAGACGACCACAATGTTCATATCTTTCTTTTTTCCCTTTTACGACCCTTTCGAAATTCTGCTTCCGAGCGTCTATCATTATTAAGTGATGCACACGCCGACATACGACAGTGCGCCCTCTTCTAACCCCCACCACTTAATGAACTTATGAACAGACAGCAATTCTCAATACCTGTGGAATATACTTCTATAAATCCGCAGGCAGTTATAACCATCATTCAGCAGCTCATCATCCTCGCACTTCTCGCACTTCTGACGCATTATTTGACGAAAACATCAGTAAAGTTCCGGCTTCCACGAATCTGGGAAATCGGCGAAATGGTTCTCAGTTTGTTTGGATGGGGAAGTTATGCGAGGCCAGAGTCAGGAGAGGCTATCGAGCTTGAGCCGAAGGGAAAGGTTGTCAGGACACGAGCTGAGCAGCTGAAACGGTTAGGTAACCAGGAGGATTCCCCTGCAGGTCTGTGCTCCCAGTCTCTCTTTAGCAGGCCCGCTGACGTTTGAAGTAGTCGAGAGATCGGACCTCCTTTACCCAGGACTAGTGAACATCTCGGGAACCTATTGCTTCCTCAATGCTGTCCTCCAGGTATGCCTCGATGGCCAGGAGGCGATTATGACTCATGGGGCCATAGGCGCTCGCTTCTTGTGTATATCTCCAACCGTTCTTGGATCAGTTACAAGAGAGAGCAGAGGAGTTAGACGTTCCAACCCCAGTCATCGACGCACTGCGGGATATTTTGCAAAGTGAGCCCCCTTCAACCCATGTCCTTTCCTGTGTTGACCCTGTTTCAGAACTAGATGCCCCTGGTACCCGCTTTCAGGCACTGCGCCCATCCGCCATTATCGAAGCGCTCGCCAATTCTTCCCAGCAGAATCATAACACCCTATTCCTATCGCGGGAGCACCAAGATGCACAAGAACTATTCCAGCTAGTATCGAGTGTGCTGCAGGAAGAAACAAACGCCGTCCAGCAGGAGGCGATCAAAGATTTGGGTTTGAAGGGGCTGCATTCGCTCAAGCCCGCGAGTTCAGGTGCGGTGGACCTGTCCACCCCTTTCGAAGGTCTTTCCGCCAACCGGAGGACCTGTGGGGACTGCGGCTACACCGAGGCCGTGATGCACTTTCCCTTCGACAATATCACGCTCGCCCTCCCTGCACAATCATCTTGCGGTCTTGAGGAGTGCTTGCTGGACTACACACGTGTCGAACGGCTGACCGATTGCGTATGCCGAAAGTGCTCAATGCTTGCGACGTTGTGGAAGCTCGGAGCCGACTCACAGCGGCTGGCGGATAGGGGTGAAGAAAGGAGTCCAAGCAAGAAGAAGCGTGGGAAAGAGGCAAAAAAGCTTGAGGGACGAGTGAAGGAGGCGATTGATGGTGGGAGGGTCGAAGAGGATATCAAGGGGGTCAAGGTGGAGAAGGTGTATAGTAGCTCATCGAGCAAGCAGACGATGATTGCTCGGGTGGGTACATTCCCTCTACGTTCCTGAGCCAGTGTTGATCTCCTTTAGCCACCTCCAATACTCGTCCTGCATGTCAACCGGTCGACCTACTTCGGTCACGGCTACGCTGGGCGCAACTCCTGCCGCGTCTACTTTCCTGAGCTGCTCGACTTGACCCCTTTCACCACGGGCGGGGAGCTTAACTTACTCCCTAATGTTTCCCTCTCCGCACCATCTATTCTCTCCCTTCCAGCCCTCCTAGCCAATACCCGCGCTGCCGTGTTATATCGTCTCGATGCCGTCGTGTGCCATTACGGCACCCACTCCTACGGACACTATGTTGCCTTCCGACGGAAACCCGCACCTCCAAACACCAAAGTTCGCTGGGCCCCACCCACGCTTTCCTGCCCCCTCGACTGTATTTGCGAGGACTGCCGTGTTTATGGACCCGTGAGGGACCAGTATAGCGGCCGTTATGCGGGGTGGTTGAGGATGAGCGACGACAATGTTGAGGAGGTGGGGCTGAGTGCAGTGCTTAGAGAGACAGCGGGGACGTTCATGTTGTTCTACGAGCGGATACAGATGCCGCCAAATCCTGTCGCAGTACAGAAGACGGGAGAAAAGGCGGACAAGACGAGCGGGCGGATCGTGCACAGCGTACAGATTCGAAACGGGCGACGAACGGAGAACGGGCACAAGCTGGAGTTGGCGGCAGAGTCGAGCATGGATATTGACAGCAGTTCTAGAGAGGGAAGCGAGACGCCTGAACCTGCGCCAAGTGAGGGGACAGCTACTGTTGTTGGCGAGGAGCGGCAAGATGTTGGAAAACTGTAATACGGGACGGGCTGCGAGTCTGTATTTGGGCACCAAGCCTTGTGTACTTTTATAACCGCTGGACACAACGACGATTGAGGAGTTCCACGCAATGTACGCTAGGGCAGCATTTTATACCAGGCATGGCATTCTCGCCTTTTCATGGTCATTAATCATCATCATCGATGTCATGACCAATGTCAAGGAAAACATTGTGAAAGCAACAGACGCTAATAGTCCAGGTAGCCCCGTTGTTAAGGAGACGCAACCCACGACGATTTATGTACGACAACCAATCACCAAGACAGACAAGATCACAGCACATAGCCGCCGTATATCCGCTCCCCGCCATATGCCCACTCGTACGAACGGTAGTTCCTCGGTTCTTGCGGGACGGTATAGTACGTCTTGCGGACGACTTTGCGCACATAAGGGTACCTTGTAGGCCGTATCAGCATGATGACCAGAAAGCATTGGGAAAAAGATACGCACCAGGTCCTGTACATCTCCCCGCGGTCAAGCTGCACAGTGACGATCTGTCTGCCCTATACCTTTTTTAGCACAAGAAGTCTAGACAGGTATGGGAGGAAGTGCGTACATATGCGTCCACAAACGTGTCAGTAACCAGGCCCTCGCGCTCATCCGCTACACCCGGGCGGTTGACGGATACGATATCTCCGGGCTATGTTCAGGATGAGTATTTGAATTTTTAGGTGACGAAACAAAAAGGGCGCACGGCCAAGTCATCGACGAGGCCAAGGCCCGCCCAAGTGAACGGGAGGAAAGCGAGCAGCAGGGTGCAGATGAATGTGAAGGCCTTCATAGTTGCAAGATGCAAATGCAGAGCAAATGAAAAAGGTGATGATGGTACAACTGAAAGTCGTGAGATGAGGGCGTAGGGGAGAGAGAAAAGCTGGCAGGGGTGCGCAAACCCGCGGGAGTCTTATAGGGCGAAAGGGTGTGATTGCCTCATTTCGTCCACGCCCTTGCTGGTTCTAGGGGTGTCCGAGACACGAGGCCAACATGAGGCAGAAGTGCCAGATTCCGCTCGCTAATTCACCTCTTAGCTCACCGAAATTCGGCGCGTTCTACGACTGTTGTTCTACGGTTTCCCTTTATTCTACTCGCAGGGGACCAACATTCCTCAGCCTCGTGGACGCATACCTGTCGTCTGCCACGTGTGATCGACATCCATCTCCGGATCTACTCTCTGGGGATAGTAAAGAGGAGGTAAATCCCCCGGTGTCGTCCGAGGAGAAAGAGTGCAACAATACATTTCCCTGGTGGCTCCCTATTGAAGAGAGATTTGGCGTCATGTTGGTAGTTTAGAGCCTACAATTTGATTTTAATTTGACTACATCGACAACTTCGTGATCAACCGTGCAATCAACACCCTCAAGCTGAACCCCACCATCCTTCCACTCGGATCTGCTCTCCCTAACCCTGGGCCCATTCCCTTGCTCTCTTCTTCATCAGCCACACCAGTTGCACTGTGTCCGCTAAGTGTCGGCCCATAGACATTCCGGAAAGCCTTGACGATCTCGTCCCCGGACTGCTCGAATATCCTCTGCAGCTCTGCTTCTCGTGTCACATACGTCCTCCGAACCGCATACGGCGCCATCGCATTGTACTTCCTTATAAGTCCATTGATCTCCTCGATAGCGGTAGTGTGGTACCCCAGCTCTCGTCGCTCCCATTCGGCGTCACGGTAGCGCGAGGCGGCAAGCAGTGACATATGCCGAAGAGTATTGGGCGGTTGGGAGTGAGTGAGCATGCGAGTTGCCCGTCGCACCCAAGACTCTTGTATGATGCGTCTGAAGGTGTTTAAGGCGTCTTCTACCTCTTCAGAGCGTCTTAGCCACTCTTAATATCTTCGATGACCTTGATGACATACCTTTCTGCACCTCAATCCACGGCGGTGCGGCGCCGTTCCGCTTCACGATCCTGTTCATGAAGAACTCTTCTCTCCCTAGAAATGGGTTGCTCTCCTCCAACTCTCGCACAATCGGCATTCCCCTCCCGCTGAGCTCATCAAACTGGCCAGCCAAGCGTGCTTGCTGTTCGCAACTCAGTCATCCATTGTCACAAGAGTTTCCGAATGCAACTCACCTCAATCATATCTTCAACTAGTGACGTCCACCCTCTCATACTTGTGGGATTCTCCGCTCTGCCACCCGTCCCTCTCGTCCCAAGTCGATAATCCAGCGTCCTCTCCCTCGCTCCTACAATCCTTCCCGCATGCTCCACCCTCTTCCTAGCGAGCTTGGCCGCTGCTCTTAACCGCGGGTCTGCAAGTGTATCAGCAGGGAGCTGGGGAGTCTTGCTGTTCGAAGGGCTAGAGCGAATGGGGTTGCCGTATTTGACCTGCGAAGTAGTACTGTGAGATGGTGCCCGGAACGTAGTGTGCCAAGGCCGGTGAGTTGCAGGATCCACCACTGGCTTCGACGTAGATACCGGAGCAATCACAATTCTCTGTCCTATTTCCTCCTTCTCCTCGTGCTTCAGTCCAATGGAGGGTCGGATGACCTCCTCCTTTCTTTGCCTAATCTTCTCCTCCGCAGTGCGTACCGTACCTCCTCTTAATGGCTTGTACTTATCCACTAACATTCTCAATACCGTATCCTCGATCCTCTCATCACCAGTCCAGTTCTCTTCCTTGTTCAGGAGCTGCTGGATCCGCGCGGAGGGTGGACGTTGTTCTTCAGTAAGTGCATCGGAAAATAACTTGGCACTAGCGCTGCCTGCTGTATATGGTGAGACAGTAGATGCCGATGTTGACGCCGTAGGGCTGTCCTCAGCTCTTGATTGTTCTGTGACCGTTGATGATGATGAATGTGCCCGTCGAGTTGCTAAATTTGCCCAGGATCGTGCTCGTGGTGTTGATACAGTGTGTCTCCAGGACATGGTAAGAGTACAAGGGAGACTGAAGGAGAAAAGGCTCAGAGAAAAAGTGCCTCCTCGACGACAACTTTTGAGAGCGTTAATGTACAACGGAGCCGATAACAATTTATCCGGCATCAAGATGACTCGTTTCTCACAATGCTCAGACAGAATATTATGGTATCAAGAAGCCATATACTATTCAATTCGCCAATAAAACACATCGTAATCGTTCGTCACAAAAAGTCATCCTCAAAAGTTCCAATAGGCCATGTCCAATATCAACGTGCATCGTTCCACCTCTTCACACTCTGCACCAGCTGCACAATGCTCTTGGTATCCCCCGTATGTACGTCACTCATGCTGACGTCCGCAGTGGAAATTCCATTCTCGACCATGATATCAAACAACTTGAACAATCCTTCAAAGCTGTCCTCCGAATCCAATGAAGCCATAAACAATGCGTCTGGTACGCCTTGGACCTTGCCAGATAGTTTCTCGACCAAACGGAACAGCACCAGCCCGGATGCGAATGAATGAGCAAGGTCGGTAGACTTGGGCGTCGACACCGGCAGGTTGGCATTCACCCAGTCTAGCAGTTCTTGGTCATGTGCACTCAACTGCATCCATGTCAGCCACCTCGTGATATTTCTGATTCATTGCGCACCTTTTTTGCCCGGGGGAACCTGGTCTCCCTGTTCGGCCTGGGCGGCACTGGTGATGCTGGCTCGGCAATCCTCGCCTCTCTGAAATCATTGCTATCCGCACTTGCGACCGTGAAAACCGATTCAACCCTTGCACGTAGCCTCTCATCTCCCGGTCGGTCCTGGCCCTTCACAGCAAGCATTAGCACGGCAGCGTCCCTGTCGGACAACTTGTCAGGGTTTGAGGGACGTAGAGCGCGCTGTGTGGCCTCTCGCTGGCCCGGCGAAGGGGGCCGAGGCGCAGGGCTCATAGCTTGTGCGACGGCCAGTGGTATAGTGGGGATATGGCAGGACGAAATGACCGGTTCTGTTTATCACATCAGCACATGGACTGAGTTGAACGATCATTACGCACTCGAGTAGTCACGTCCAATAGTGGCCTTCATGATGGCCTTCATCCACTCACGAATGACGACCTGCTCATCCGAGCTGAAGTAATGCGGCTTCTCGGTCTCGTGCACAATACGGAAACCGTATTTGCCCACGTTCGCATTCTCATCCGCGATGACCTTGTAGCCAGTGACGTTGATGTACCCTTTAATCTTTGATTCCTGGAGCATATTTCCATCAGCTTTGTCTAAACAACAAAAACAAACAGCACATACCGTCTGGCTGCGCAAATAGTACAGATGCGTGTCCTTGAGCACAAAGTACCGGTTTTTCCAAGAACTGTATCGCTCGCCCTTCTTGCGCATCCACCCTTGATGATCCGGAATGCCGATCTTCTCGAGTGCATTCTCTGTCTTCTCCGTGATGGGAGACGTGGGTCCCATAGCCGGTCCACCAGTAGCTCCATTTACACTGTAGCGCACATCGCTCTGTCCTGGGGAAGAGGAAAGCCGTTTCCGCAGAACATTTGGGGAAGCTTCGTGGGAGGTTTCTGATGTTGGGCTAGTGGTGTTCGGGATAGGGGAGCTGATGCTGATCGAACCCGTTCCAGAGGAGTGACGGACGTTGCTCTGTACAGACGGAGTCTTGCGGTGGGTTGAGCCACTAAGGTACCGGGCTAGCGAGCGTTTTTCGGACACGGCCGAGGTAGCAGTGGTGGGGGACGAATCCGACGGCAAACCATCACTGGTCATACGTGTGAGCAATTTCGCGGTATTCAGATAGAGAAGAACATACCCAGAATACCTCGGCGCCGGCTTCCTATTCTTGCCCAACGAACCTGAAAAGAAACTGAGCCTGCTGTCCTTCTGGCTTTCCATCTGCTTTTTGGTCTTCAACCCATTCGCGCTCCCAGATCTCCTCACCGCGACGGTTGGGAAAGCGGACGACGGGCTGTCCACGCTTGCCCGCTTGCTTGGGCTAGGGGGGATCGACGAAGGAGGGGTATCCTTTGCCTGAGAATGCTTGAGTGAGTCAGGGGCCGAGGTGGTCTCGGTTTCGGTCGCCCCAGGCTCGGCAGTCAGTTGGTGCCTCGAGGTTGCTATAGAACCCCGGTCCGCCTGCTCGCATCATTAGCATCATATCCCTATCTAGCAAGGAGTGAAGCTCACCTCGTATGTCTCTATTCCCTCGCGCGTCTCGTCTTCCTCAGGAATGAAATTCGGGTCTATACTTCCAAGGGTCGACCGTTTACCCCGCACGCTGCCCGTCCCATCTGATCCACCAAATGAGGGGTACGAAGGGCGCTGCACCGTAACCACGTGTCAGCAAGCCATCCCACCAAACTAAATGGAACCCGCGTACCTCCCGGTTGAGACTTCCCAGCCCCAAACCAACCAACGCCGTCCCCGATAAACCCGCCGCAGCGACCAACTCGTCAGTCTTCGAGCTCGGCGTTTGCATCGCCGTCGTAGCCCCAGTCAGAGAAGGCGTGGTCCATTCTAAGGGGTTCATCTCGTTCGTCTTCGGGGCGCTCTCAGGACTCAGTACAAGTCCGTGCGGGATTGTTTGACCATTTGCGGGAGTAGTGTCTTGTCCCTGTCCTGGGCTTCCACCGAGCGTTCCTGCCGGTGTGGCAGGGCCCAGCGCAGCAGCAGCAGGGGCGGGAGGAGCGACACTCTTTCGCAGCTCGTTGATAGCGTTGTTCAGCCTGACTCGCTTGCCAAATACAGTGATCCCCAGTTCGTCCTTCAGGAGCGCCATGTCCAGGGAGAGCAGCACGTCGCCTGTTATATCCTGCTCCTCAAACTTGTCCCGGATTGTGCTGTCGAACCCCTTGGCAGAGAGCCAGGCAAGGACATCCGAGGTAGACCAGGTGTTCGGGTCCGCAGGATGGTCGGATGGTGCAATGGCAGGCATCGGGGAGGTAGGAGGCGGGGCTAGGGGAGGCGACGGCATTGGTGCAGCGTACGTCTCTGGGCCGTATGAGCTGTTCGAAGTCACGGAGGATTCAAGGAAGGGAGGCGCCAGTGCAGATGCTGCAACCACCGTCGGTAGAGGCACCGGTGGGGGTTCCCGAGGCGCAACAATGGCTGGAGCGCGTGGCATGGAGGAAAGGACGTTACCAGGAGGCGGAGGAATGGTGGTGAAAGAAGGGAGGAGTCCTGCGAGTCCCTCTTGCGGCGGAGGCGAGACAGGCAAGGGTATCTGCGCACCTTCAATTCTTGTGCGGTTGAAATCACCCAGCCTGGGGGTCGGCTCTTCTATTTCTTGAGTAGGTATCTCAAGAATCGCAGTGATAGAAGTCGCAGTAGGTGGAGACACCGGGCTCGATTGCTCTGGTGCTTGGTCCATGCTGAGGACCGTCATATGCGCAGGGAAGGCGTTCGGTGCTGGGATCGGAAGGGAGGCCAGACTTCCAGCTGCTGAACCCTGGCGGGAATGCGTTTCGAGCGGGCGGGTATTGCCGATCTGGCCTGTGCCTCCAAAGGGAGCACCAAGTCTCGGCGTGTCCGGCTGGAAGCTCGTCCTCTGGCTGGCGAGGCCGTTAACAGCAGCCTGGGCACCCTCACGCTCGTCCTCCTCCCTAGCGTCCCCTTCCCCCTCGCTCTCGCTATCATCCGACATCGCCAGAGGGATGGGTATCGGTGCCTGGGCTTCGCGCATTTCCCGTATACGCCTCTCGGCCAATTCCCTTCTAGCCGACTCGGCCAACAACTGTCTGTTTCCCCAGTTGCGTGCGCTCTCGGGATCAGCTTCCAGCTCGCTCTCGTCATCTGTACCAGAAGCGATGCTCACACTCCCTCTATCCGCATCATGCGGGGTGAGCCTGCTCCCTGCACCCAGCTGGTCCAGCGCTTCCTGCACGTCGCCCAACGTCTGTGCCATCTGGGATGAGCCTTCAGGGGCGCCGGGAACGGAGAGGGCAATTGCGGGTGGCTCGGAGGGAGCGTTAGAAAACTGAGAGAGGTTGGAAGCAGACATCGGGAATGGCGGGGAGGAGGTGGTATAGTTCTGGGGAAAGAGACCCGTCTTGCCCGCGAGGTTCCTTCCCTAAACCCCAGAGAGACGTAATTGTCAGCTCATCACCCCCCAACCGCGGCACAGCGCAGAAGAGGGAACTGCATACCTGCCACCATCCATCACCAAACTCGTCGTCGCGCTCTATGATCTCTATGCTTTCTCCCGCTCTGAACGGGATCTCGTCCTCGTGCTCTGCGACAAAGTCGTGTAGCGCATATACGAACTCTGGCATTGTGTTTCCGGGTTCCTGGTTGAATGACTGCTGCCCAGAGGTAGACGGTGACAAGAGGGTACGGCTGTAGTTGTACACCGTACGCAAGAGGATGGTGGTGGTTGACAGTGAAGCAGGAGATGTATGCGCCCAACCAGCACAGAGAGATGATAGACGTGGAAAGGGTGGCGGTCGTTGTTTGCTCATCAAGTCCGCATCAGGCAAAGAGACATAATCGGATAACACGTGGACGGATCCTTTTTCTTACTTGAAGGGGTTATCTACTACTAAGCACTGTAGTCTATTACATTACTAGACTAGTAATAAACACAGAAATTACATTGTAATAATATAAGCTATGTGTTGTCCAGCTCACCCAGTAGCATCGTCGCATCCTTACTCCCAGTAAGGACTACAAAATCAATGAGCGTTTTCCAATCAACAACCAAAGATACTCACCAATAGGCTCCTTTGGGTGAAAGTCAACAGCCATCACAGTCCCCTTGTGCCCAGGCAACTTATACACCACCTTGCCGCTGTCCACCTCCCATATTGTCACTGTCCGGTCCGCACCTCCCACACCGACCCATCCCTCCCCAGTCCGGCTCCACGCTCCCCGTAGCAGCGCATTCTCGTTCCCAGCTGGTGCGCCATACAGCGTACGGTGTACGCGTGTTGGGGAAGAAGAAAAAGGTCGGATATCATGGATGATTACCGTGCTGTCGAACGAGGTCGAGAGGAGATGGTTGTGTGAGGGGGACAGCGCCAGGCTTGCGATCGTGTCTGTGTGCCCGGGAAGAGAGTATACTATCTGTTCCCTTCGCAGATCGAACACCTGTTCACGGGTCAGAACTCCCTTCCAGGGTTAAGCAGCCCACTCACGCTAATAACATTATCTAACCCTCCAACAAATAGCTGCGTTCCATCCCCGCTCCAGCACACAGCAGTGACGGGGCTTCCCACGGCTAACTCAATTACGGCGTCCTTCTCGTCCCCATCCCAGATGCATACATAACCATCGTCACTCCCGCTCGCCACGAGCTCAGTGCCCCCCGCGATGGCACGATCGATAGTATTCACTACGCCCGTGTGGCCTCTCCACCTTCTCGTGCGCGTCCCAGTCGTCAGATCGGTAACAGCGACCACCTTGTCTGCGGAACAAGAGAACAGCTCGGGTCGCGTGAGGGACCACTGGATGTCTAGCACAGGCGCTTTGTGGATTGTGGTTAGCAACGCGTAATTCGTATTTGGGGGATATGTGCGCCACAGTGCTGGGCGTATAAGTGGGATTCACAACAGAACGCCATGAACTCACAGATCCCTCGGTCCGCAGAACAGGCAGCAACATTTTGCCCCGTCGGGTCGAATCTACACGACAATATCTCCGCCTGCGAACATTCACATAAGTCCGCAACTTCCAAGCTCCCAAAATCCCACTCACCGAATGTGCTCCCGCAAGACTGACAATAGGCGCGTCCAAGCTACTTGTCCGCTTCACACTCCTCACCAGTGCCTTCCCAGCGTCTGCACCAGATGAGATGGCGATTTGGTTGTTAGCCGGCGGGCCGGACGAGTCTTGCCGAGCGCGTTTTGTGACTGCACTGGATGTGGACGGGGGAGAAGGCGCGCGCCGCTTGTTGTCCATTTTTTTTGTGCTTGATGCTACAGAGGAGGTGCAAAGTGATAGTGGCGGACGACGTTCAACTGCTGCAGAGAAAGGGAAAGGTGAGTTTTGCTCCCGTAATTTCCATATTAGGTTCTCAGGGCCGCCGTCTTCCTTTCGAGCACGTCGCCCATCACCCAACCTCAGCAGCGCAGACCGACCAAGCCAGCATGTCCGCCGACGACGCCCACCTTCAGCTCCTCTACCAGCCCCATCTGGCACACAACGCCGCATCGCTATCTACGCTCAAATGGCTCTGCACTTCCTTTGCAGGCTCGGTCGCCGGTGTCCTAGGGCTCGAGAACTACTGGGGCTTCGCTCTCTTCTTCGCCAGCATCCTCCTTACAACGGCCGTCGTCTGGAGCATACAGTGTAAAGGCGATGTGGACCGCTATGTTCAGGGAGGATGGTGGGAGATCATCAACCCTGGACAGGAGAATATTGCAAGTTTCATCCTGTTCTGGACGCTGTTTTATGGTAAGCCACATCTTGCTATGCTGCGAATACGTAGTGACGTTATCTGGCAGGTCTCGTACATGGTATGAAGTTATTATTCCTTTCGAATTGTTTGATAACCCTTGTTCCAGTTTATGATTGAACTTGCGATCGACTGAATATACCCGCGCTCTTGATACCCAACACTTCCCCCTTGTACTTGTTCTATCCAACATTTGAAAATGTAATACAACACTACTATATTTCTCTACTCCGCCCTCCTCAGCTCCACCAGTAGCTCCGTGAGTCTCTCCCACTCAGGCTCATCCCCAAAGTTCGCCTTCGTCCTCCCCATAAAAGTCCTGACGACGCTCTTCGCCTGGAACTTCCAGTCCTTCATACCACCCTTGCCCTCCTCAGCCGCTCTTGGCCCCAAGTTCCGCATCAGCTCTACAATCTCCTCTACTTCGCCTACCGCCTCCTTCCAGTTCTCTAAATCTACTTCCACACGCTCGTCGCTGACCACAGCAGCGCGGTAGGCATTCATATGTGCGTCGAGTGCTTCGCCCCACTTGCCCTCCCAAACGAGCAACCGCGCCCACATGCGCCATATCCTCGCTGAATTCGAGATGCGTGGGAGGACGATGCGCGTAAACAGGTCCGTCACGCGACGCTTAAGCCCATGCCCTTCATTTGGATTCTGCCTTGCGGCACGCACGTCCTCACCATCGACGGTGTTGTTCGCCACGCGGGTGACAGCGTTCACCAACCTTTCCAAGACCGCCATATCGACGCATGACTCCCCATCCCTCTCCGCACGCTCTTCCACCACCCGGCCGAGAGCACGGCAAGCCTCTGCCAGCTCGCCCACGTCCACAGCGACGATCATGTGGTTATTCCACATGCGCCAGTTCTCGTACGAGAATCTCAGACCTTGCTTGAGCGCTCGGAAGGCAAGCAGCTTGTTACTGAACGGGATGGCGCCAGCTAAAGCCTCTTTGTCTTCCGGTTTTGGTTCCTGTGTAAATTTGTCAGATGCAAGAGCCATCTCGTAGGATCACCCCTACCTCCTCGCCCTCTGCAGGGACATCCTCACTCCCTAGCTCTACCTTCTCTCCCGCCTCGCCCATCCTAAGGTACATGCTAGCCAAGTTGCTCCAGCTCTCCGCATCCTCTTGATCGATCTCAACGCATCGCAAAAAGCACATCTTCGCCTCGACCCATTCCTCTGTCCGGATATAGGTGCAACCAAGCACGAACCATGTCCTGCTGTACAACGGGTTGATCTGCGTCGCCCGCCGCAGGTATGGTATCGCCTTCTTGAAGTTTCCTTGCGCGAAATGGTACCCTCCGAGGGATCGGGCCGAACGGGCTGACGATCCTCCGGAGACCTCCCATGCACGTTCATAGTGCTCGAGTGCCTTGTCCTTCTCCAAATCGCCGAGCAGGCACCAGAGCTTAGCCTCTCTCGCCTTGTCTAGCTTCGGCCTTTGCGGCTCGAGCGTCGTCTTCCCCCTCTGCAACACAACGTCCGCCTCCTGCTTCCTCCCTTCCAGCAGGTCACGCACAATCGCGATCCCCTTCTCCGGCTTTTCGAGTGACTGCCAGCACTGAACCGTCTCCTCCCACATCTCGAGGCGCTCGAAGATGTCCAGAGCAGAACGAACAACGCCGAGGGAGAGGTATCGCACTGCAAGCTCGCGCTCCATCTCCCACTTGCTGGGCAGGATCAGCGAATGGAAATACAGCAGCCGCTCGGAGAGTGTCGAGTCTGATGTCGGCATCTGGTCTATGAGTGCCTGTAGCTGGAATGTGGAGCGTTCAACGGTGCGCGTTCGCTTCGCTTCAAGCCGGGATCGGAGAAGGAGAGCCATGGTATAGACGGTCCAGTTCTTCGGGTGGGATAATACGCGTGCGACGTACGCATACATCTGCTCAGATGTGAGGCCGTGGACGGGTGATGTGTTCTTCACGTTCAGACAAAGGGAAAGCAAAATACACTGATCCAACGGATCGAGAGCGGGTTGCGCTTGAGGATCGATGTGTGACAAAGCACCTGCACTTGCAGAGGATGCGGTAAACTTTGTATGCTCTAGAAGAGTGTCGTCATTCAATAGAAGTGCCTCGGGCATGTCTTTCTTTTGCTCTGCCTGCATTGGTTTTTCTGAAACCGCCGGCTTTTCTTCGTCGTTTGATGTCGCATCGATCACGGTATCGTTTCGTTTTCGACTTTCTGCAAGGAGCACCAGTTGAGTAACAGCATCGTGCTGGAATTTGGTTCTTCTGCCCAACGCGCCTGATACTTCGTACTGCAGCCCAGTAGCACGAGCAGCATTAATGAAGTTCTCGCCAGCGATGGTATCACTGCCGACCAAATGATGTGCGATCCCACGTTCGATCCAAAGACGACCCTGAAGATCCGGCTCTCCATCGAGATGCTTTATCAGTTGATCTACGTGCGGGAGGATATTTGTCGGGAACGCCACAGGCTCGTCTAGGAGATGCTGATGCAACGAAGATGCTCTGAGGCGCCACCAGTCAATCGTGGTTATGTGATCGTAAGGTTGTTCTAGCAAAAGTTGGGCCAGACGAAATAAAGTGGGAACTTGAGCCAGATGGTATGCTGGTTCGCTTCCGTAGCAAAGTTCCTCAATAGATTGACGGTTCAGATCCTCTTCGGTAAGGGCAGAGTTGTCCGACAACAGCTCAACCGGCTTGATGTCTAGCGCCGGCCCAGTCCAATTCACTTGTATGAAGGAATGCAAGCAAGCGACGGCGACAGCTAATCGAGTCAACTCTGCCTCTAGGCCTTGTGCGAAAGGGCTCAAGAGGTCGTTAATACGTCCCGACCGCGAAGAATTCAGGGACGAGGGAGACTGAAAGAATCGCCTGCCTTCTTTGTGCTCGAGGACCTGGGAGAATTTTCCGTCCACAACTAGATGAGCAAGTTCAATGGGCAGTTGAGCGGTAAATTCGTCTATCTCAGAGCGCCATTTGCCTTCAATTAGGGACTTCTCGACCAACAATGCCGTTTGTGTTGTGATAGCCATATTCCAAGATGATAAATTGCTTCCGGCCATTGGTCAAATTGCCGTGCATTATTAAGTGATCACAGAACTGACTCATACTGACAACAAGATATGCAAAACATTATGCAAGAGGCGCGAGTTGTTACACAATACACGTGTGCCATAGTTGCGTGCAAGTCCTTGGAAACATACCCGAAACCCAGAAAAGAAATAAGCAAGAAAATCACAAATAATCCTTCCCGTCCCTGCTGACATATTGACGGCGTACATAACTCTCTGGTCGATAACTTCCGTAGCCCTCTGGGCTATCGCGCGCGGTGCCAACTATGCTGATCGGCATTGCAACTGACGGCTTCCGCACAACAATCTGTGGTGTTGGTGTTTCCGATCGCGTTTCCAGTGGAGGGTCTGTCTCCGTGGGCGGGAATTCTGCCGTTCTCGGCGAACTCGATAACATACTAGAGCCCATAACACTTGATGTGAGATTAGACACCTTCCGCGACCATGATTGCAAAATCGAAGGTCGATCTGAATATGACCCAACGTTGGATAAGGGAGGGGTTGATGTGCTGTTTGCATCAGATGCTGCAATGGACAACGTAGCTGGAGTGATGAGTCTACCCACTGGGGCAGCTTGCATGAACGTTGAGTGCATGGATGAATCTGATAGCCCTCTCCGGCGTAGTGTACGATCCAGTAGTGTGGGATGGAAGTCAGCTGGCACATGGCTGGGAGGAGGCTGTAATGAATCGAGCATTGCATCGACATGGGTTGACATCCTCTTCGAAGCCCCTATTCGACTTTCTGCATCTCTGATGTCCAGTGACGTTCCTGCCAAGCTCGGCTTTGGACGGGGTAGCACCACCCAGCTTTCTGAAGGAGGTGCCATTCTCGAACCAGCGAAAATACTGCGCAGTTGCTCTCGTCGACCATCATCATGTCTTCTTGGACGGGGATGGAGGAGAGTCTGGTCACCAGCAACGACGATGGGGGCCGGCTGCAGCTCGGGATGCCCTACAGAAGCATCTGGAGAGGGAGGAAGCTGCACCACAGGATCGCGAGGAGCGGTGGATACGGCCCGTCGGATGACTCCTGAACCAACGAACTCGACATTGACGGTTGTGACGGATGGCGCAACTTCTGGCAAGAGCTTTGGGGCTGGCTTGGGAATAGGCTGTGCCAACCCCAAGCCGGTGGATGGTTTCGGTCTAGTGGCGAAAGATGCTCCTTCGTCCATGTCAGGACTTCCGCCAAACAGTTTTGAAATAGGCGCGATCCATCCTCCCATAGCAGACGCAGGTCTTCGGAGAGTTTTCAGCTCTTCTGCAGCAATGTTTACCGGAGGCTTCGACTCTGTCAACTTTGCTGCGGATGACGGATCCAACGTAACATCATTGACAATCTCACGCAGATGTGCGAGGTGGATGATGAGATCTTTGAAGATCTTAATAAGTGCTCGCAGGTCGGCCTTCGATAGTTCACTCTCCTGCGCAGCTGCACCATTGATAGCCACGTGGAAGTCGGCGCGCAAGCCGTTGACATCGCCAATGATAGACTTGATCGTCGTCTTCGACAGGTGTCCTACATCTCCTGCAAGGCGTTGTCGTTTGAGCCTCTGAGTGAGTGTCGCCACATCAGCTTGGTTCAGCCTATTCATAAGGCCAGTAACTCGTGAGATGAGTTCTGGCAGAGTCTGTCCAGCTGGGACTTCTTCCATCGTGACTGTTCTTGAACGGCCAGAAATGGGAGTGCTCGTGTCGTCATCCAAGATTGGAGGATCGAATGTAGGCAATAAATCAGCCTGCACACCTCTTGATCGGCTGAGGAGCATCAGAGGGCGTGTCTTAGGCTTGACAGGCTCCGACTCGAGGTCCTGCGATTCCTGGGTACTCGTTTCAGGCTCGTACTCTGAGCTGAGACGGGATGGCGGACGAGGGAAGGAGTCCTGCGCTTGAGAATCGGGAGAGAGTGGACACAAGTCGTTCGTTGCGAAACTTCGAGGGCTCCGGACGGGCTCGCGCCCATATGCCTTGGCCTGCTGCGCCTGCACGAAAGAAGCGAAGACCGGAGATACGCTTCGCATTCCAGGTGACATGCTGCGTATATGCGGTGAATGTGGAACTGACGATGGGAGCGAGGGCGTTGCGAGTTGCTCCGTGCGGCGATAGGGCATAGCTGTGGGAATACTGACCGAGCTGGTCTTCCGGTAATGGTTAACGCCATTCACTGACGCCAGTGATATCCGCCGACTATGGCTGAACGGGCTTGTGGCACCTCCAAGTTTTTCATCCACAGTCTGCAAGGGCCGTCCCCCAAAGCCCATGGCACGCAACTCGTCCAGTTCGTCCTGCAGTGCCCTCGAGCTCTCCCTCGTTTCCACCAGCAGATTCCGCAGTTCCCCATTGTCCCGCTTCAGCGCCTCGTTATCTGTCACCAACCCCTCGAGTACCTCTGCCATCTCCGTGCTTGACATGAAGGCCGATCCGGACGTCTGGGCTAGCGTCGAACGCATAGACTCGATCCGCGAGCGAGCGGTAGTAACGAGCTCCTGCATTGCTTCTTCCTGCGACTGTTTATCCGCGTCACGCGAGTCTTCTATTCTCTGTATGGCCAACTCCAGATCCTCGCATCGCTGAGCTAGCGCAGCAGCTCTCGACTCCGCAGCCTGTGTCCGACGATCATGTTCGCTCATTTCATCTCGAAGATCGTTGTTCTCCTGGGTGAGGTCATCGACTCGTGCCTGTAAACCAGAAAATCGCGCGCTGTGATGCTGCAACTTCTGCAAGGAGTTGCGCTTCTCAGCGACTTCGTGCAACAAACTTCGGTTGGAGGCATCCGCAAGATCAAGGTTCAGTTGGGACTGTGACAATCGCTAGGAACAGTATTAGGGATACGTACCAAACGGTGAAGAACACGAACACGAACCTTTTCAATTGTGCCATTCTGCTTTGCAAGATCTGACATCCGTGCCACGAGTTGGTCGTTAGCCTGCCGCACGGCGGACAGTTGACTTATAGCCTCCCGGTGCCTCCTTTCGAGCTCTTCGACCTGCGCACGTGTGAGAACACGCTTTAGCTGACGCACCCCTATGAGCGTACCTTTTTAGTCTGAACATCTTGTTGACGCATGTACGCATCATTCCTCTGCAGCAGGGCCTGACCAATCTCTATATACGCTCTTATTAGCTCGTGAAGCAGCAAGTGAAACGGTTGCTTACCTGCGCTCAAATTCAGCCTCTTCTCCATCTTCTCCCTCATCTTTGTCCAACGCTCATAATTCTCGCATTCGTCCCTTCCGCAACAGCAACGTAGTTCCCCGACAAATGATGTGCCATCAGGGGTCGTAGCGCGCGAGAAGGACGAGAGGAGATCGTTGATGGTTGTGGAGGCGCGTAGGACGTCATCGGATAATAAATCTAATGATTCGATGGAGGGTGTAGGAGGGACAGAGTCCATGTATGGACCAGAGGGATAACTTTGGGATAGCGAGCTACAGCAAACAAGCAAGCGTTACAGGACAAGGCGCAGTGTCAGAGCAAGGGATTGGTTGGGCTTGTGGGGGACGGATGCTCGGCGTCGGGGTTGCGCTCGGGTTGTATGGGAAAAGGGTCGCGTGGTCAGATGGCTGTCGTCACGCAGACGCCCTCTGTTTTGTGCCAAGCACAGTTAGTCAACTTGAGAATACAAAAGTGATAAACCCCGTCCGGTGGATAACTCCAATCCTATGCATCGACAGCCCCTTTTGTCCACAGATTCTATTGTTATTCTCGCAGGTAAACAACGAACAGCGCCGGAATCGAAAACAGGGATGAGCTTGTTGTAGACCACCAAACTAATAATATGGAGATCAGCCACAGTGGCACTCAGTAACGTCGTCAATAGTGGGCCCAGCGTCTCTCCCAATATTACAATCTTCTGACGTTGTTCAAATCCGACTTTGCCATCCAAACTTACCTCCTCCAATCATGCAGGTCACGTCATGGTTGTAGAGGGGTTTGTGCCCCCAAAGAATCCCTATGCTCCGCCCCTCAACGTGACATGTTCGTCACCTCCTAATTGCGAAGAGTGGAGCATACGGGCGGGGCTCCAAATACCCTCGGCAAATGCACCCTCTAACAACTGGAGGAAGAATAACAAGCTTCAGAATTCTCGCAAGGGGTACACAATACTGTCAGGGAATGAACTTTGTCGCACGCCTTCTAGAACAATCCAAACAACTCTCACACCGCTCATTCCCGACAAAACCAGTGACGATCAAAACGGGCAGTTCCTTGGGCGTTCGTACCAGGATCGGCATGCGGTGTCCGCGGTGTTGATGGCGCTCAAACTACACTGCATGACTACGCGTCACAGCTAAGGTGGGCGCGTCCAACGCGCGGGAACGTCCCTGTTATTACGAAGATTCAGAACTTGCCCTCGAACAAGGAGATGTAATAATCACAGCATGAATCATGCCCACAACAACGTTGATAACGTTGATTATCTCCCCTGAATGTGGGCCAAGGGGAAGGAAGAGAGGAGGGGGGAAAGGGCGAGGCCGGAATGGGCAGACTCCGGACACTCCTTCCACGTGCGGAAAGATCCCGTAACCCTAGGCCCACATTCGTCTCGCCGCCCTATTTCTGCGGCCGGCGCATCATAACCCTCTGCTTCGCCCCGTTCTAATCGTCACCCCCCCTCTCTGCACTTTCTGTCCTTGACGACCACTCTCCCGTCAGTCCTCTTTTTGCCCCTCGTCGTGTCTCTCCTCACTGACCCACACCTTTTTCACCGTAGAATCCCTCTTCCATACTTATACAGCGTATCCAAACTTAAATCCACTCTATCATTCCAAAGGTCAGTCTATCTGCCACCAGGAAGAGATTAGAGAACACGCGTCTGACGCGTCCTTTTTTTCCAGATGGCTGAAACCCACGTCCGCGAAGACCATGTCTACCTCGCCAAGCTCGCTGAGCAGGCTGAGCGTTACGAGGGTGCGCATACACGCGTTCTTTTTTCCCGTGTTCGGATTGCCTAAAATGGTCAATCTTACAGAGATGGTCGATAACATGAAGAAAGTCGCCTCCTCAGATCAGGAGCTGACCGTTGAGGAGCGTAATCTCCTTTCCGTTGCTTACAAGAACGTTATTGGTGCTCGTCGTGCCTCCTGGCGCATCGTCTCCTCCATTGAGCAAAAGGAGGAGTCGAAGGGCAACGAGGCGCAGGTCGCTATGATCAAGGGCTACCGTGAGAAGATCGAGGTATGTGGCGATTTTCCCCCTCGGAAACAACGGGATTGACGCGTGTCGTAGTCTGAGCTTGCTAAGATCTGCGAGGATATCCTTGATGTTCTTGACAAGCACCTGATTCCTTCCGCTGCATCCGGCGAGTCGAAGGTGTTCTACCACAAGATGTATGCGCATTCTTTCACGTTTTTCACGCGTCGTTTGTTTATCTATGCGTCAGGATGGGTGATTACCACCGCTACCTCGCCGAGTTCGCAACCGGCGAGAAGCGCAAGGAGTCTGCCGACAAGTCACTTGAGGCCTACAAGGCTGCATCCGATGTTGCTATCAACGAGCTCCCCCCCACACACCCCATCCGCCTCGGTCTCGCACTCAACTTCTCCGTGTTCTACTACGAGATCCTGAACTCACCCGATCGTGCCTGCCACCTCGCCAAGCAGGCATTCGACGATGCAATTGCTGAGCTCGATACATTGTCCGAGGAGTCATACAAGGACTCAACTCTGATCATGCAGCTCCTGCGTGACAACCTTACCCTCTGGACGTCTGACATGCAAGAGAGCGCAGATAAGCCGGAGGCAAAGGATGATGAGGCTGCTCCTGAGGAGGGTGCGTGAGAGGTTGAGGACCATGGCCTGTTATGATGGTTCCTAATTTTCCCTTTCTTCCACGCGACGTCCCCTTCTCATGACCTCGCTATCGTTTTTTTTCATGTTTTGCATCGTTTCATCCCCGCAATGAAATCTTATTAGCAACGTGCATTTGGACTGTTTGCGTGTCTTGTATCATTCCCCCACAGGATTGTGCATTCATTGATCTGTTTGTGGTCTCTAGTCATGGTGCGTTGCCCCCAATTCAATCTCCCTCGCATACATAACTCCGGCCATGTCAGTAATACATTTGTCCAGGCTTGTCCATGTTATGCCAAAGTCGCGCTGAGCTTTACTTGAATCAAGGATCGCGTGAGACGGAGGGTCAGAGTTATCGGATGGGGCAATACGGTACGCTTGCTCTGGATACGCAGTTGCCGCGATGTGGGCGATCTGATTGTAGGACTCGTAACCGCCGCAAGTCAGGTAGCGCTGGTTCTGCGCTTTGTCGTTCGTAAGAGCTTCAACATGCAACCTCGCTCTAATCTGGTCGGTTAGCGCTCTCCACACCTAGTCAACTAAAGCACCCACACGTCGCGGACATCCACAAACCATGGCCAAGGTGTGTGGCTCAGATCCTGTTGCTTCCCGCTAAAAATCGCCCACATCTCCGCACAAGAGGCCGGCAGCTTGTCTATCGAGTCGATCACCTGCGCCGGAGGGCCGTAGATGATCGGCGCACATAGACTGGTATAAGTGAATGACGGCTTCTCACTTTCCACAAAGTTCCAAGCGGCTTTCTCAGCGAGCGCCTTTTGCAGCTCAGCAACAAGATTCAGCGCATGGCCAAACACAACACACCTTCGAAGCGGAATACACGCCGGCCGTACCTGGGGGCGACCTCGCCGCTTCCTCGTAAGTCGTCGGATTCCAATCGTCTGGGGTGAAAACACGTCCGGGCTCGTCAGCTACCGAAGCTCCCGGTAATAATGACACGCTTGACACTCGGTTGTTTCGCTGCAGCGCGCATGACGGACATGACCCCTTCGATGGCAGGGATCAGCATGTCCTTCTCGTTATCTTTGAAGCCTAGCATGACTGGTGTCGCCGTATGGATCACATAATGGACACCAGACATGAGGGCATCAAAAGAACCGGGAGCTGACAAGTCCCCAAAGAGCGCCCAGTCGATGTCCTTTACTGTGCGGGTATTTCTTCGTCCAAGCGTCAGCTTTCTCCTGGCTTCGCTGATGGCCTATTATTAGATGTTGACCATGGACTTGGACCAGAAACTCACCGCAACTGCCTTGATCTTATATGTGCCTCTCTCGAGAAGGTCAAGAGTGATATGCGAGCCAACGAACCCAGTCGCTCCGGTGATGAGAACAGTCTCAGTCGCCATGCTTGTCAATTCGATCTTTTGTCGACTGACTCGATTACTGGGCCATCTTGGTCCTTATATATGCCTTTCATAGCCAACATCACCTTAATTTCAGACCAGTCGTTCTTTCCCTTTACGGAATAAGACCCTGGACGTTCCATGCGGAGGAAGTTCGTCCGCATGGATTTCGAAGCAGCCGGTCCTTGCGTGGTTACCGCGGCCCTTCGACCCACTTTGTTCGCAAAAACCCCTCAGTGGAACAATTGGGCGGGTTCACGATCACGTGAGCAATGATGATGTGGATGGTATGTACGGTGCAAGAAACTGTTTGTTGTGTGAGGATGGATTAATCAACAATGTACCCTGCCGTACCGGAAATATGGTCCGAGGCGACGACTTTCCGGAACGACCACCATGAACCTGGCCGGCGCATATCAACGCAAAGGACTGCTCACAAAGGTGATGCTATTACAATCATGGATCAACAAAGTGAACACTTGGCGGGTTGAAGTACTTCGCGAGTGAACTTAACCGGCTCAGAGCCCATATACAGCAGAGGGGTTCTATAGAATACACTTTGGCACGATGAGGAGGCATATGGGCCGATAGTTTTGCAATTTTCTTTCGAGCCATGGGTTTCCGCGGTGGAATCGTTGTGCGGATCTTCGTATATTAAATCAAGGTATCACCTTCGAAGTTATGCTATGTGCGGCATTGTCTCTCCTTCGCATATAACACCTTAGCCATGTCCGTTACACACTTCTCCAAGGTTGTGAAGGTTAATCCAAAGTCCTTCTTAACCTTGCACGAATCGATACGGTAATCCACATCTGGCGGAGTGTTATCACTTCTGGCAATTCGCGGTGCCTGTTCTGGGAAGGCAGTGGCGAGAATATGAGCAACTTGGCTATAGCTGAAGAACCCAGCACTGCACAGGTACCGCCGGTTCCGAGCTTTGGGGTTGCACAATCATTCGACATGGAGTACGGCTCTAGAAATATATTGTTCAGTAGGTCTTTTGCCAGCCGGAATGTGGTGACGTACAGATCCCTGACATCAATCCACTGCGGCCAAGGCGTGCTCGACAGATCCTGTTGCTTGCCACACATGATTTCCCACAACTCAGCGCAGGAGAAGTTTAGCTGGTCAACCGTGTCGAATGGTTGCAAAGGTGGACCGTATATCATCGGTGGGCAGAAAGTCGTGAACCCAAATTGCGGCTTCCGATCTTTGATGAACCTCCAGGCGGCCTTTTCTGCTAATGCCTAGACCGAAGAACGTCAGCATCCTGGAGATCGCGGGTTGATATCAACACTGACCTTCGAAGCTGTATATACAAGGGTGTCTGATCCAGGCGGCACCTTAGCTGCTTCATCATAAGTCGTATCATTCCAATCTTCCGCCGTGTACGTCCTTCCCGGTCTGCCGAACCCATTCCTCTCCACCGCAGCAAAGCTGCTCGTCATTGTCACGTGTTTGACCCTAGGATGCCTAGCAGCAGAGCGCAAGAGCCCGAGCGTGCCCTCGATCGCCGGACGGAGCATCTCCTTTTCGTTATCTGTGAAGCCGAAGAAGATAGGGGTAGCGAGATGGAGAACGTAGTCGACACCCTCCATCGCTGTATCGAATGCTCCTGGGGTGTCTAAGACGGGTAGAACCACAAAGGTGATGCTCTGTGCCGTGTGGGGATACTTTGCAAGAAAGGCATCTGCCTTGGCTTGAGAACGCTGGGGATATTCATGTACGCAGCAAAGAAGGTGAAGAAGCAACTCACCACTGTGCCTTTGACCCTGAAGGCGTGCCGCACTAGCTCGAGCGTCACAGCTGATGCAAGAAATCCATTCACTCCGGTAACAAGGACAACAGGGTGATGATCCATGGTGAAGTCGGCGAGGGGGGGACCTGTTCAACAGGTCTTTGTTATATGGGGTAGCCCCTACCTACATCTCCGCCAATGTACAGGCATTGATGAGGGAACACCGCAGTGTCGGCCATAACCCGAGCCCCACTTCCCCGTTATTCGTCCGTATGCCTAGAAGCAAGGCAACAGCGTTTCCACAGGTTGAGAATCACCTCGAGACCCCTGCAAGACGGCGTAACGCCGACGTTTGATGTGTGAGAAGGAATGGCGGAATACGGGGACGACGGTGATAAGGAGCAGCAAGCGTCGGTGATAAAAGACCCATCTTGATTGGCCAACACTTTTCTCGTCGCTTGTGATCGGAGTCTTAGCTCAGTTGACGGCAGAATAAGGAGGACAGTGATGGCCTGGTCGGTCATAAGATCGTACCTGGGCGAAATGCTATAAGCGCGAATGTTACGGTCTGAATAATGTACAATGTCCGCGTACCTCAGACTCAGGAACCCTTCATATTGGCAGGGATCACAGTCGTGGAATAAAGAAACAAGAAGGCGATGAGGGTGAGAATATCGCCATAGTGTCGTCTACAATTCAATGGGACGATATATACGTGCAATATCAATACCATTGTCAGGTCACTTGGATGCCGCATGTTGGAAGATGATGGGCGTGGGAGAAGACCCTGACTTGTGAAATTTCGATACTGTGCCTGACTCAACCCTCAACGTCCTCTTTATCCTCATCTCTTCTTCCATCTTGACTGCTTACCCATGGCGCCTCAAAGGCAGCTCAAAGTCGGCATCCTCGGGGCCACAGGCACTGTTGGCCAGCGATTCATAAAGCTACTTGCTCTCCATCCCTATATGCACACCCACGTCCTCGGCGCCTCGGCACGCTCTGCGGGGCAGAAGTACATCGAGGTTGTCAAGTGGAAACAGGTGACCCGAGTGCCGGAGGACATCGCCCAGATGGTTGTTGAGGAGTGTGTCGTGAATGACAAGTGGAAGGAATGTGATCTCATATTCAGTGGGTTGGCAGAGGGAGATGCAGGCGAAATTGGTCTGTAGATCTTCCCACCGCTTGCCGCAAAACCTAACATCTGTTAAGAATCCGCCTTCTGTGCTGCTGAACTTCCGGTGTTCAGCAATGCAAAGAACCATCGACGGGATCCACTCACGCCGTTGATCGTTCCCCTGGTGAACACCTCGCATCTCTCCGTTCTTCCAGCACAACAAGCCGCCCGCTCCCTCCAACGGGGATTCATCGTGACAAACGCGAACTGCAGCACGACAGGCATTGTCATCCCTCTAAAAGCTCTGGAAGAAGCTTTCGGGCCCTTGGATGCCGTTATTGTTACTACGATGCAGGCGATCTCGGGAGCTGGGTACCCTGGTGTGTCGAGCTTCGACATCATGGACAACGTGGTGCCGTACATCGGGAGCGAGGAAGAGAAAATAGAGTGGGAGACAAGCAAGATCCTAGGAGGGGTACTCGCCGACGCATCCGGATTTGACCTGCACGCGCAGAGCCCTCTCAGAATAAGCGCAAGCTGCAACCGCGTGCCCGTGCTTGAGGGGCACACGGAGTGCGTCAGCGTCAGCTTCAAGCGTCGTCCGGCACCCTCCCCGGAGGAGGTGAAGGATGCGATGCGGAGATACACGTGTGAGGCGCAAACCCTCAACTGCCCGTCGGCACCCAAACAGGCTATTGTTGTTCACGAAGAGGTTGATCGACCCCAACCAAGGTTGGACAGGGATGATCAAGAGGGCGCAGGGGTCAACGTGGGACGAGTGAGAAGATGTGGAGTATTGGATATCAAATTTGTCGTGTTGAGTAATAATGTTGGCATCGGCGCGGCGACGAGTAGCATCACCAATGCCGAAGTCGCACATGCCAAGGGTATTGTGTAGAGCATCGGTGCAGCATACAGCATAATAATACACTCGATAACGCTACACGAACGAGAGGGATATCAAGCAGTGACAAGCGCCTGGAACATCCTCTTGTCCAAAGTCTGCAATTGCGCAGCTTCAACCTGTCGTTACCCGTCAGAGGATGAAGAACGCCTCTGGGTGCTGCTCACCTGCGGGATCGTGGGACACGCAACAAGCAGTTCGTCCCAAACTTCCTTGAGCGAAGCCAGCAGCGTAAGCGTATCTGTCATTTTATGAGTCCCTATCACATTACCCGGCAGTCGGTGAACGTTTACCTTGATCCTTGTTAAAGATCCCGCTCACCTCGACCCACGCTTTGAGTAATCCATACAATACACGCTCTTTCCACT